ACATTATCTCCGGTGTAAACCACTAGAAGACCCATAGAATTCACCGCTGTGCACCTGGTGACATGACGCTTGATTCGTTAGGGAAATACGGCTTATGTCCCCATGTTTTGTAGAGAACCTGTGGTTTCTTCCTGCTAATGTTTTTGGTAATGGCATGCATGGTTTTATTGACAATGTTGAGACTTGTGCTTTGGTGGCAGTTAATCATGTGACCGCGCCCGCCATGTCAGCAGTGATAATAAACGTGGTGCTGTTGTCGCAGCTAAGCTGTTTATTCGCCGATTGTGCACAAAGTATTCTTTGAATTGATATTCCCAGAATAAATAACACTTAACGGATCCAGGTAATTATTCTGTGTAACAATAAACACATTTGCATTCAGAAATCAATAACGGTTTATGGAGCGTGGTGAGGTGATGTCAAATGGGGTTTAACGTCGCGTTCAAGATTACTGCACTTATCCGTGTGTATTTGTGTGTGTGTGTGTGTTGTTTTCTTGTGTGTGTGCCTGTGTGCGCGCGTGCGTGCGTGCGTGCGTGCGTGCGTGCGTTTTGCTGTTTGTACTTACCCGGACAAATAAAGGTTTTATTGTGCTAGACCACTGAGATACATGCCACAGTTTAACATGGATACCCCACTCAGACACCGTATACTGACTCCGAGCCGACCAGCCCTTGGTATATCCCTTAATGCCGAGCGCCAGGCAATGTAACATCAAATACCATCTTTTAAACGTCTTTTGGTATGATGCGGCCGGGGATCGAATCCCGAGCCTTCTGCTCTCCTGGCAGACGCTCTACCACTAGAGCATGGAACATGGGCTGCTCCCACTACGGGACTCGCCGTATTTCCACTATTAAGAGCTGAAATCTGAAAGGGATGGTATCCATGGTTTAAAGGGTTGGTCCTCTAAGGTACGGGTCAGCTACAGCGCTCTACCACTAGAGCATGGAACATGGGTTGCTTCAGCTACGGGACTCACCGTATTTCCTCTATTAAGAGCTGAAATCTGAAGGGATCGTATCCATGGTTTAAAGGGTTGGTCCTCTAAGGTACGGGTCAGCTACAGCGCTCTACCACTAGAGCATGGAACATGGGCTGCTTCCACTACGGGACTCACCGTATTTCCTCTATTAAGAGCTGAAATCTGAAAGGGATCGTATCCATGGTTTAAAGGGTTGGTCCTCTAAGGTACGGGTCAGCTACAGCGAATGCTTCTCCGCATTATCTTTGAATATGAACATTTAGTTGACACATCTATGCGGCCGTCCCTTGTGACAGATGGAGATGCGGTAGGGTCGCGTTTGAAAGTAGAGTTGTTTAGATCCAGAGTTGCTGATGGAGGAAATACGGTCAAAGTGAACCTCATCATTCCGGGCGCCGATAATGCAGAAACCCCATCATCCGGGCGATTACTGCTGGGAACGCTCATAAGTATTTAAGACCCGAGTTGGTCCCTGTTTCCTATAGCAAAGGTGAGTAAGATGGTAACGTGAAATTAGGTTCAGCGCCGTTCAACATCATCAGCTAATGCCAAATGTAGTGGTCAGCGTGATTTTACGCCGCTTCAGACATTATGTTTGAGCGCGTGCGTGTGTGTCTGTGTTCGAGATTTGATTTGAAAAAAAGAACTGACATTTTTGCATGGCTGGCCCTGGATGTTGTGATTCCTAAAACGGCTGTTGTCAGCCTCGCCTTGTAAGGTGGGGCGTTGTCTTGTTTGAAAATGACGTTCGCGTGTTGCATAATGAGAAGGACGTGTGGCCGAAGAAATCCGTGTAACGTTGTGCTGTTAAATTCCCTTGAACTTGCACACTGTCTGTTCTACCAGTGTAGGAGATGGCTGCCCACATCATCACGCTACCACCACCAAATCTGTCCACTTCCTGCATGCAGTTTCGGGCGTAACGCTACTCGCGACGCCTGTAAACGTCACCCGTCCGCACGGCAAAGTATAAAACGTGACGTCACTAAACCAAACTTGTCTCCATCGCAGTTGTGGCCATACCCTGTGACCTCGACACCATTGACGTTGCAGCCGACGATGCAGGTCCGTGATAATGACATCTCGAACTGGTCGTCTGGCGCGGATTCCTCCAGCACGTAAACGGTTCCTCACTGTGTGGGCTGATATCCTACGCAATCCTGGGGTTGCCGTAGTTGTAGAGGAGGTCGTAGTGTTTCTTTCTTGTAAGTGACGTCACCGTATGAATCTGTCCTGCGTCTTGTTGTAATACGTGGTCGACCGGATCTGGGAAGGTCCTGTGTTGTTCGTGTGTCTGAGTGAGTGAGTGAGTTGGGTTTAACGCCGCTTTTAACACTATTCCAGTTATATCGCGGCGTGTCAGCTTAATATGAGAGGAAAGCCCGAAGTGATGCAGGTCTCGGACGTTTACCACTTCGGTGAAACCAACGAGCACGGGTATTCGTGTGTCTGATAACGGCTCCACAGTCTTTGAATGGTGCGTGGTTCTACCTGGGACAACGGGGCCACAGCTGAAGATGATTCTCCTGTTAGCCTTCGGCCGATGGCGTTGTTGCGTTGGGCTTCCGTCAGTCGTGGCATGTTTTCGCTGTTCAGGGCTGTAAGATTGTGATGGCATGCCAATGAAATCCAACGTTTCTATAGCGCAACACGTAATGTTGCACGTGCCTGTCATGTTGATGTGTTTCGGCGCCAGGATATCACGTGGTTGTGTTTTTTGCGATTTGTCCGCCTTTCCACACAAATCAAACCCAATCCATGCAGAAACGGATATCGGCAACACTCTGAGAGATATTTTCAATTTAAATACTACAACGTTTCTGTTTTTCTTCTTCTTTTTTTGCAGAGTATTGTGGTGATGAATTTTGGCGACACTCGCTTCTTTCGAGGTGTATTTTTTCATGTGTGACGCTTCGATGACTGTATGCTAGCAGCACGAGTGACAAGAGTTTGTTTTCATCGATGAACTGAAGGTGAGGTGAAATTGGGTTTAACGTCGCGTCCAAGATAATTGCACTTATATAGCGACGTGCATGCACGTGTGTGTGTGTGTGGCTGCTTGTACTAGTCCGGACTAATGCCGAATTATAGTGCTCGCCCACTGAGATACCATGCCGCAATTGAACATGAATACCCCACTCAGACACAGTATACTGACCAGTCCTTGTTTTAGCCCCTTAATGCCGAGCGCCAGACAGGGTAACAACAAGTACCATCTTTTAACGTCTTTTTGGTATGACGCGGCCTGGGATCGAACCCCGGACCTTCCGCTCTCCTGGCGGACGCTCTACCACTAGACCACGGAGGCGGTCGATGAACTGAAGACGGAACCAGGCGACTTTATAGTGGAATGTGGCACGGTGTGGCAGCGTGAAACAGATCATCGGTGTCGCAATAACTAGACGTTACAATATTTAAACTTTGTAAATGGCAACTGGGCACTTTTAGGACTCTCAAGATGTGTCCCACACGCTTGGCATTCCTCGCGTCGCCTGGGTGTGTTTTCGGCTGCTCCTCAGTAAAACGTAAGTATTCGCTCGCGTTTTAATCAGTAAGGAAATATCCTCCCATGACAATTTCCTGTTCTCACCAGACAATGAGACCAAAATGCACCGATGAAGACATATGTCTCAGAGATTGCGAGCAATGTCGAGGCTGCATACGTGACTTTCCATAAATCTATGAATAAGCCTTGTACCTGTGGAGGTCCTTTGGCACGTCTTTATTCAAGGCAGGATTTGCTTTGTATCAATTTTATTTCAATGTTGTTTCAAATTTCCCTCCACGTTGTTTCTATGTTACGTCGGTTGAACCAGTGTTTAGTTTAAGATTTACGGTGATTTACAAAAAGGACACGATTCACATCCGAAACATAAATTTGAAATTTTGTACACACCTCAAAAGTCAGAGGTATCGCACCTCCAAGCTTTTATAATAATTAGCAGAAAACAGATGGGTGCAGAGAAACTGGAAAGGGAAACAAAACCATCAAAAGTGTTTAATAATGTCAAATAAGATTTTAATTCTATGAATAATAGGGAGCATTTGCAAAGGAAAACCTTAACTTTATTCGCCGGCGACTATACGGACTGTAACTGGAGATAAATAGAGGCAGTATAAGTATGGTAACTGTTAGGTATGAGATGGACAGATCAACACATACATGTCTAAGTAACGTACCCATGTCACAGTTAAAGTATCAGCAGTTTACATTAAGTCAATATCTGGTTTAGCCACCCAATACACGGATCACATCAGCAAGACGTCCCCTCAGGCTCAGGCGCTTAATCCTACACTGAAAGATGCGTTGCCATTCCTGATGCGATGCCTGGCTCAATTCTTGGAGATTCTGTACTGGATGGTCCCTTTTGCGTTCAGTCGACGCCTAATGGTGTTAAAGGACACTCTTTTGGGAGTATGTCAGTGATGTTGAAGTTGAGGTTTTGCAGCCGTTTTGCCTGGCGTACAAGGACCCTGTTGTATCTGGTACTGGTCTTCCCTGGGCATCTGGATCTCAGCAAGATCCTCAATTGTCCAGTGTTTTTTTCTAATGAGCCGACTGATTACAGTATGATTAATCTTCAACATGGTGGCAATAGCAGGACATGTTCCATCTTTGATTTACTGGGACGGTACACTTAGGCATTTCAGTTACAATTGTTCCAGAGAAACTTTCATTCAAAAATGTATACCAATAAACAGAGAACATTCAGTCCTTAATAACATTCAGCCTGGCCTGAATTCAGCCATTGAAAGTCAATTCAACATTAACATCAGCACACAAAGCCCACTCCAACATTGAAAATGAACTCGCAATTACACTTCAAATTTGGTGGTGTGACGTTTTGATGAGGTGTATATATGCATTACTAATCAGTAAGGTGTGTAATGTGACATTTGCTGTTCAGGATAATACTTTTCTCTCTCCATTTTTGGCTTTTCCTTTGCATATGCATGAAGCTATCTTCTCCTGGCACCTGGTAATAAAATGGTCAAGCAATAAGACAAGCCAACATTGTAATTCTAAGTAATTTATTCTTTTTTTGTTTCTGTACAAAGTCAAACACTGTGCACAACATTATGTCAATGCAGTTGGAATTTCTTTATAAAATAATTTAAGCTAAATGTGAAAATATTATGATTTACACTGTAGTCAACATACACATACAACGGTCCTGAAAGCACATGTCCTTATCTCCCCTTGGGCAGGGGAATCCCCATTTCATACCCCTCCTATTCATATGGCCTGATCCTTTTCAAACGGATCATACCAAATGAAACATTTCTGGGTTAAGGGAGTTCTCTGGCAGCCGTTTACAATATCGTCTCCATCAAATGCAGGAAACATCTTTCAAACCCACAACCCATACGTCAAAATGGTACGGCCCACTGTTACACTTGGAGCGTGCCATGTTGACAATATAGGGGGAAGTATCCTCAAAGGGCCATTCACACAAATTGACATTATTTACACATGCTAATCACCACAATTGGAGTATGCTTCTCAACATGGAAAGCACTGAAGGAAATGCTAACATAAGCATACTGCATTACTGGAACCAACAATGGCTAAAACCCACAAATACTGAAAACACAGAGAACTTAATAACATTCAGCCTGTCTTGACTTCAGCCATTGAAAGTCCATTCAACATTAACAACATCAGCATGCAAGGCCCCCTCCAACAATTGCAAAATCTCATAACAAAAATCCACGAAGATTGCATAACTGCAGAAATCATGGCATTTCTCTGGGGCATTGTTCTCCAACATCCTTAACAGTAGGTCCGAATGGTGTATTTGTAAGAGATCTTTCCTCTAGTTAAGTACATTACGTGCATTATTATGAACAAGTAGTTACCAGCATAGGTAAATACGGCTGTGTGCACATGGAACTTACTTGTTACTGATCTATTTCATGGATGTGCACTTGGGTGCAGGTGGTGGTAGTAGGTAGGAGACCACATCTTTATTTGATGTTTAATATCATCCCAAAATATAAAAACTATGCTAATCAAGAGCGGTTTATGCAATTAGATGACATCTTGTTGACTATTGGTTTAAATATTACAAGGTTATTCATTCTCAGCTTTCACACTGGAATCAAAGTGAGTGAGTGAGTATGGTTTTATGCCGCTTCTAGCATGTTTAGCAATATCACTGGGGTGGACTCCAGAACTAGGCTCCACACATTGTACCCATGTAGGCAATCGAACTCGGGCCTTCAGCATGACAAGCAAACGCTTTAACCACTAGGCTACACCACGGCCCCGGAATCAACATGAACTAGAACATGACTTGAATGAGGATATTAAACAACATATCAATATGGACTAAATATTGGAGCCAACACGTTCACCAGGTAGAAATAGTTCCAAATATGGTTCTGGAGAAACCAGACTTCTCATCCTCCTTTCATCACCTCTGTTACCATGGTTATGTGGCATCCAACCAAATATACCAACAACAATTATGGAAGGTGCATCCATCTTTGAAACATCAGAGGGGGCCTTGTGAATTCATCAAATTATACAAAACATGGTAATTAACATAAAATCAGCAACACTGTCAGATTTGTACATGTTCAGCACTTCAAAACAAATAGCACTGTCATAATGCGAATAATAGCAGCAGCTACACAGTATAAACAGACAGCAACTGTCTCAAGTTAGAATACGCTGTACATAATATAATAACTTGGTGGCGGCTGCAGCGGCATAACGTGGAGACAAACAAATAACAACTGTAGCTGCTGCTGCTGCTGCTGCTGCTGCGGCTGCTGCACAGGCTCCATATCTACACCATGTTTTTTGTATTAATTGTGCATTTTAATTGAATATATACATACTGTACAATGTGGGCATAAGTTCCTTTAGCCAGTCTACATACAGTATCACAAATGTGCATCATATACAAAAGGCAGAGATTTAGGCCAGGCATTTCCCATGCGTTTTCTGGGCTATAAAACAAGGTTATGCCAGGCTTGGATGGGGCCGGTGCAGACTGCTTTGATAACAAGAAGGCTGAACCACAAATGTCTAAAACACAACTAGGAGAGATGAAAGATGTGACGATGCTATATTCAGTATCATTTTCTTGCATACATAATTCACGCATAGCATGGCCTCGTTTCACATCTTCATAAAGCCCTTCATTTCTCTTCTAAAGACGAAACAAATTACTTGAACACACCTGGCTTTAAGCTGTTTATGTGTGTTTTCAGACCTGTACCTAATTAAAAAGGTCTTAACGACCAATCATTATGAAAACGCATATTTGTACTTTACGGTTTTACATCTGTTAGTAAAGAACAGTCCTAACTAAGCTTTCTAGATTTAGAGAATGACATGAAATAAATCCATCGAGGTCGACCGCCAAACAAACGTTTCATGATTGACCGCATCTGCAAAATGCTGGCGCTTTAATTTCTAAACCATGAACGGCTACCAGCTCTATCTGCCACACAATAACCAAGGAAACTGAAGGAATCAGATGCCTATCAAGACTTTTCAATGGAGATATCTCTGCCAGCTGCAGGATTGTGAAACCGAACAGGTATTGGCTAAAGTGAGTTCAGTTGCGCAGTCTATGATGGAAACTATCCAGGTTTCTTCCATGAATACTGCAGTAGCCTTCTGTTTGCAGGGGAAAAACCAGGAAACTGCTACTCCGAGACGTTGAGGTAGAGGCCATGCTAGTGGATCATCATCATTCTCACTCCACATCAATAAATACACGCACACTCTATCTTGTCACCGTACTATACATCATGTGTTTAGCATCACAGAGCTCACAAAGCTAACAGCCAGCTCAAATGTACACCAGTGTTATCATTTACAAACACTTGGGATTATTTACACTAGAAATTCTCCCTGACAGAAGAAAGTCAGATTCACAAGAACAGCTGAGGTTGACGATATATTTGGTTGATCATATATGATCGTGCAAGCGCCGCGCCAATCCTCAGGAGCAAAAGGAGAAGATGAAGTAGAAGTGTGTTGCTATCTAATACTGCATCGACATTTACAACAGGTGGGTCAAAGTTGCATGTATGAAGTGGCATTTTCATGATTCCATAACGTCAAGAGAGGAAGGAAGAGACTAGACGAAGGCATGACAGAACGATGATGAAGTAAAGTGATGAACCTGTGCCCCACAAACTTGAGAAAACCCCGTGAAAAGATGGAAACAGACAAATCTGTTTGTGTCACAATGTCCGTTACACATCACAGAAGCGCTAACGTGTGCTAATTCTTCAACTACTGCGGTAAGTAATAAATACTTACTTCTTTGCATTCAAAACAACTGGGATGCTGTCAGGTACTACAGGGACTTGCATGGGACTAGGGGTTCTTCCAGATAAAGCATCTCACAAGGATCAGTCAGGGATAGTTTACTCGGAGTTGAAGTAACAAACTCTCATGTCAGTGGTCAATGGAGCCGACAGACACCAGTCTTCGTCAGTGTAACCTTTGAGCTCTAGCACAGACAATGTTTTTGCATCTGTGTACTGAATACAAGTACAATTCCAATAACTGCTACAAGTGCTAAATTTATGTCTATGCATAGGTTTACATCATAAACACTCTGTTACAAAGTCGCCAACGACATCTACTACTAGACTCCATTTGTGACGTGGCTCTGTAGACTCCGGTTGTGACATGACTCACAAGGCAGAGGTGATTGTGAGGGCACACACAGGAATGATTATCATGCAAATCAAGAGTGAAACTTTGTCAACATGCAGAAAACTGCTCAGATTTCAAATACTCAGGGTCTGCCATTTTAGATCCACATTTCTCTAGAAATGACTGAAGATAAGAGAGCAAAGATGGTGAAAAATGTTGTTCATGCTGACATGGTTACCATGGCTACAGGGATACAGTCTATCTGGTGACAGTTGAAGACAGGGAATACTGCAGAAATAGATTACTTATCTGCAACATGCTTTTGATTCTTATCAACAAATGATCATCGTATTTAACACATACAACAACAATGGCCTATCTACGTATTGCTTATGAAAATATCCACATCACTTCCATATCATCTGGAGTTACTTCCCCTTGTAATATGGCACATAATGTATGTATGTCTTGGCTTCAAATCAAATTTACTAGAACTTAAACTCAAACTGCAGTATTAGAACCAAGTAATAGGAGCACTTTCTGCAAAATCAAACGAGAAAGCTGTTGGATTACGGGTAGCACTTGTTGTAAAAATCAAGAACAAATTAGTCATCCTCGTTCAGATTGTTGTTGAAAAATAAATACGTTATAAATATCAGCATGTCTACATGAATATGGATTATTCAAATCTCAGTCTGGACCGCTTAACATCAGGGAGATTAATTTGGGAAATTACTGTACAAGTTCATAAATACTAACCACATATTCGCCACTTGCTACTACATCCATATAGTACACTTGTATACCACACATGTAGCTAGCTAGCTCAGACACAACACATTCGGTTAACTCATGACTTCAGCTGCACCACTGTGGCAACAACTCATTAAACACGACAACAAACCTCAGCATACAAACATGTGGAATAAATGAAGATATTTTCATGTGTCACCCGATGGGAGACTGACTTGTACCTCATGAGAGTTTGCATATGAAACAGATGCCTTGGATTAACTACAGGCTAAATGGTGTGTACTGATCAGGATGTCTCTAAACTTGACTGGGCCCACACTCAATGACTGGGACAAAATGTACTGTAGCTAAACTGAACTAACATCGTAAGTATCTTTGATGCACTTTTTTCTACTTTCGAGATGTATCTACTGTTGTGTACTACTATAAAACATGTAATTCAAAATGCAGTTGAAATATTCTTTGAGTACTTTTTGACATAAACATTTGCAAGTTTGTAAATGATTTGATTAACTAAATGTCTCAATAACTTGTTCAAACACTTTGACGTTTGTCCTGTACATGCTCAATTTTCCCAAACAGCCATGCAATTTCAAAACTAACACCTCCCTTATACCACAATGTACAAATGACCTTCAATTGAAGCATTTGGAAACAGCTGAACCATTGACCATCACATAAATATCACATTGCAGGATTCAGGAGTAGATGTCAACGTTATCTTTGCAATCACTTTCAGCTGCATGCTGAGGGTTAGGTAAACTGAGGGCAGTCGATGCTATTTCCTTCTTCCTTGGTATATAGGTAGAACTGTATGTGATTGGCTGCATATCCTGTTATGTATCATGGCATAGACCGATTTGGAGGATGTCTGTGTCATGTAGACATTAGTCTGTGGTGATATCATATTGACGATCTGTTTGTACAGGCATCAGGCTATCGTACCATCCAGTTTAAGAAACTTGCTTGTCGTGGATATTTCATATCACAAGAAGTTGCATATCGGACTCGGACTCCAAGCGAATTCCTCACCAGATACTGACCATCCAGCTCATGAATGTATTAATAAACACTTGAGGTTGCCATGGTATACAAGGCAGAAACTTTCCAAGGCCATCACTTCCGTTCACTGGGAAAACAGATGAAACTCCTGACAGGTGTCAAGCACAGTTTGTCAAGCTTAAATCACAGATTAGATTCAGTGAAACCTTGCTTCTCTCCTCGGGAAAACAGTACCTTCGACATTGACCTTCTATACAAAGCTCAGTCCACACCTTCTAGACAGGACCATCACAAATAATTATCACAAAGCACACCCGTGTAACAGTAGAGCCACTCACTCGCTCACGCCTCTGTGTGAGTTCTCTCCCCCTTCCTCCCCCATCTCCTGATTGTCTGTGGGTGGTGGTTGTTGGCCTGGAGGTGGTGCCTGCTGCTGGCCCTGTTGGTTCAGCTGGTTGTTGATCTGATTACTGGGCTGCACTGGGTGTGCAACTGGTTGCATGTGTATCTGGTTGTTCTGCACATGCTGTTGAGGCTGGGGTGCTTGTTGTTGTTGCTGGGGCGCTTGTTGTTGTTGCTGCTGCTGCTGCTGGGGTGGCTGCTGTTGCTGAGAGCCCTGTGGCTGCGGCTGCGGCTGAGGCTGTGGCTGGTTGCCAGGTTGCTGGGGGAATCCGGGAACTGGGTCTTCCTGGTTGGCAACCTCCTGTTCATCGGTGAGCTCCCCTTCCTCTTGTTCCTGGGAACATAGCACATACTCAGCATATTACTTACTTTGGTATGGTTGTCACTGTAAGTCATTATTTCCCGCAATTCAGCACATGGTCTGAAGTCATGATCGCACAATGTTCCTAGCTAATAAGAGTTTCTGTATTAAACTAACATCTATAGAAAATGATAAGGAGTGATAATATCAGGAAGGAGGTGAGGTGAAATTGGGTTTAACGTCGCATCCAAGATTGCACTTATATAGTGACGTGCATGTACGTGTGTGTGTTTGTGTGGCTGCTTGTACTAGTCCGGACTGATGCCGATTTATAGTGCTAGCACACTGAGATACCATGCCACAGTTTAACATGAATACCCCACTCAGACACAGTATACTGACTCCAAGCCGACCAGTCCTTGCTTTAGCCCCTTAATGCCAAGCGCCAGACAGGGTAACAACAAGTACCTTATTTTAACGTCTTTAGGTATGACGCGGTCCGGGATCGAACCCCGGACCTTCCGCTCTCCGGGCGGACGCTCTACCACAAGACCACGGAGGCGGTCAATATCAGGAAGGAAGTCTCTACATTACTGGCATAGACTGCTTAGGTAGACATTACGAAAAGGACAAGTCACCCTCGACTTGTAGCTTCTCTTTGCATTTCTTACCTCTTCTGGGCACAGCTCGTAGGCCTTCGCTAGTGTGATCCTTGCACTCTGTGACCTTTCCAGGAAGTAGCTGAAACAGTCATTACTGGTTGTTTAGATCCTTGATCAGTGAACACACAAACCAAATGCACATATGGATTGTGCAAAATCATATTGAAGCGATTACTTGATCAGTGAACACACAAACTAAATTCACATATTTTGGAAAATATACCATATTTGGAGAGACATCTACAATTGCTACTCACCCATTTGATGTTTCATTTGACTGGGCAGGCGGAGACCAGTTATTGTATGTGTACTGTGCATTTCCCGGGTATGGTCTCTGGAGAAATGGAGAAATAATTTGAACATTATTCAGGAATTTCTAATGTACAAAGCACAAAGAATGACTTTCATTGTTTATTATCTGTAAAGAATCCAATAAATATCTGAAAGTTAACTCAAACACATACAGCAATTACTGTAAATGTCCTTGTTGGTTATGCATTAACAGAATCACTGGGATAAGTTCAGTTCTGTTTCTATCCTATTCATGAGTGCTCATGTCTTTATAACAGCCTAAGCCATCTTTGGGTCACAACAGCCCTCTCCATACAAACCATTTGTGTATACTTCAAACAATCGATCAAGAAAGAACCTCTTAGTGTTACACTTACTCTCTCCAACTCATCTGTTAACCAGTCAACTGCTCCACTCCACTTTCGCTTGAGATCTCCGTTACTTTGTAACATCTGAGCAGCAGGTGCACAACTGAAACACATAACAGTGTTCTCTGTACAAATACATCTTCAAATGCAACCGGGGTAGAATAGGTCTTCAGCAACCCATGCTTGCTGTAAAAAGCGACTATGCTTGTCGCAAGAGGCAACTAACGGGATCGGGTGGTCAGGCTCGCTGACTTGGTTGATGCATGTCATCGTATCCCAATTGCATGGATCAATGCTCATGATATCAATCACTGGATTGTCTGGTCCAGACTCGATTATTTACAGACCGCCATCATAAAGCTGGAATATTGCTGAGTGCGGCGTTAAATAACAAACAAACAAACAAACAACCAATAGAAACCTTCAAAAACATATAGCAATACCCCCAAAAGTGTTTGAAATTCTACTCGCCCTTAGTAAAACATTAACAAAACTAGTCTGGACTAGAGAGCTAGTCCTAATTTCTAAGCCTGATTCTTTTTATACACAATTCTTTGCAAAAGAACAAGCGGGAGACAGGGAGAGAGGGAGAGATGTTTAATGCCATTTCTGTAATTCAGTCATTTCTCAGTATGTCAGCTTGATGTGGGAGGAAAGCCTGAAGTGATGAAGGCCTTTCCCACCTTGGTGAAACCCATGAGCATAGGTATGGTGCCAACAAATCCAAAAACATATCCACATCGAATCTGGGATTCAAACCCACGACCACAGGTTTCTGGCATGCCTAAGGCAAGCAACTGTACTTACTGTGTGAAGAGTGCAACCATCATCTTTATACACTGGTACGCTCTCTTCTGGTAGTGATTCTTTGATCTTTGGATTGTGTCAAACAGCCCATCTCTATCATCTGGGATGCCTGGAAAAACAAAAGCCTCATACTAATTCGACCAGACATGCAGCACTTGCTTTAACGTGTTATCAAAACCTCACACGTTATATACATATATTGCACATAAAGGTAGACGGTATGGTCATATTATTAGTCTGGTTCAGATCTGTAGATGTTTCAACAGTTGTCTTGATGAGAAATCCCTCAGATGAATGCACAATACAGACAAATCAACAAATCCTAAGAGATTTGTCACCATGACTAAAGGGAGATTACTTTGGATGTCTCTTTAACTTTTCAAACAGAAAATATGTGTGGAAATGTTGTCAAATAAATAGATGTAACTTACCTTTCAGTGCGTTGTGTATCCTGTGGTTCTGCCAGGAGTCTTCCAACATCAACATTTGTAAGAGAAGATCTAAGTATGGCCTGAGCTCATATGTGTAGGAATAGGCAACCTGGCGAGATAATGCATGGATGTTAGGCTCACAAACTTCAAGATTACACAAGAAGGAAGTCTTTCTCTCCCTGAACACACATCCTGAGAAGTGAGTGAGAGCACAAGTTCAGTTCAACGCCGCTTTCAACAGCGTTTCAGTTATATCAAGGTGTGTTACTGTTAGCTAAATGTCAGAGGAAAGCCAGGGTGATGCTGGTCTCCGACGTTTACCATTTAGGCGAAACCCAGAGCATGGTTATGATGCCGAGAAACCTAGAAATATAATCAGGGTGAATAGGAATTCAAATCCACAATCCTACGGTTACTGGGACAGTTAAGGAATGCAACTGTGCATTGAATTGACAACTGGCCAACCTTTCCCCCTTCTGGGTGAGAACACCAATGGCCATCTTCAAAATCATCATACACCTCATTAGTCAAGTCTCCCATAAAAGTTGTATCAGGGATAGAGTATCTTGGGAGTGAATATTGTTAAGGACATAATCCATCAACATTATTCAGTCTGCTGTTAACTGAATCTGGGTCAGACAAACCAGTGGCTGATGGTATGAGCAACAATCATTCACACCATCAGGGTACAATGTCACAATATCAACCAGGGCACACATTGTGGCCACCAGATTTTCATTGTAGTTGTTCTGGCAGGATCTGGGGCCCTTCTTCCCTGAAATCCATACAGGGACCAGTCATAAAACTTGAAATGTCATATCTACTTATGACAACAAAAAGGATTACACCTTAAAAAGTTTATTTTCTCCTATTCCTAATGACACCTGAAACACCAGTAGAACAGTCCATGGCTACACAGCTTGTGGTATAGCACTCATACCTTGTTGTTTATATTACATCTGGACAAAAGCATACAGGCTCACTGCCTGGTTAACATACCTGCCAAAGAAGCTCACTGAGAACTGTGGAAGAGAAGTGAGGGTTCTCCCAGCAACAGAACTGAAATCATAGTAAAATATTGTCAAGGGGAAATCTTGTAAGTAAACACAAACACATACACCATTTGTACACATACACATCCACATAAAAGATCAAATGTTACCAATTTATTCTCAGGATCCCTGTACTGAGCCCTAGTACAAAGACAAATACTAAAATAATTGTCAATTCTAATGCTAAATAGTGACAATTTCCCATTGTTTTGAAGTTTTCATATTCTATCAAAGACAAAAGTTCCAATCACTGAAAGTGCAACATACATTCATCAGTGGTATTCAAAGAAGATTACAAGAACAAGTTTTGTGATACATTGGTACTAGGTTCCAGTCTGTGCCAATATGTTTGGAATCTAGTAGTCCAAACTTGTCCTTTATGCACCATTTTCAGTAGTTCTGGTGTGATTTGTACTATAAAACATAAACCTATAAAAATCAAAATGAGTGAGTGAGTGAGTATGGTTTTACGCCGCTTTTAGCAATATTCCAGCAATATCACGGCGGGGGACACCAGAAATGAGCTTCACACATTGTACCCATGTCGGGAATCGAACCCGGGTCTTCGGCATGACGAGCGAACGCTTTAACCACTAGGCTACTGGGCAACCCCCAAAACAAATGAACGAGATTGGGCTTTGTACAAGTGGTTAAGTGTTGGGGCCCCGCCCACCCACCTTCAGCAGCTTGGTGGTGTCCTCTGTGTTGTTACACTCCTCTATGAGTTTCTTCACGTAGCTGGTACGACCGAACAGCACCTCCTCCACCTGAGATTGGATCTCCATCAGTGGCTGAGGACAGTGCTGGTCACCGTGGGGGTTGGGCAGTGGAGGCTGACCCTGAAAGAAGGCTTCATCAGTCAGAAAATCTTTCAAATAGAGGATGCCAATACATGAAAGCCAAGATCATCGATATGAGGTAGTACATTTCACATACAGCATATACAGTGAAATCTTATTAACTCAAACTTCATTGATATATTGTATGAGTTGTTTTAATGTCAGGGTACTTGCAGAATCTCTATTGACATTATGGTTTAATATTGACTACGACAAAATAAATTCAACTGTATCGGTCAAACTTCTTCATGTAAAAGGCAAATGTTTTTATTATTCATATCAAGAAATCTTTCAAAGATGAAGCATTGATTGTCAGAAGATGGAGTGCAAAGCTTATATGATGATATGAATATTTTCTGTACAGATATATATACTTAGATTTAGGGTTTCACACAATGTTGATTCTACTTACATTGACTGAGCACTGACACCTTGCTGACACATCACAGCATCGCACTAGATGAGACACTACTGAGTAGAGTTTGCTGAGTTCAGCGTACTGATACTTGATGGGAGGACCTGCACCTTCATCTAGAGCCACCATTATAAACTGAGCTGGCACATTCAGCCGAAGCAACTGTTGTTTCTGGAGAGAAGAAAATCACACATGGGGTCATTATGTTTTTGACTGTCAGCTTCCTAAATCTACAAAATAATAAAAACACAACCATTTCTCTTCAGACTATGTGAACACCCACTAACAAATGGATCTCTCATTCATGGCAGAAATGTACTATCTATTGTTATATGATATAATGCCTGAGAGTGAGTGAGTTTTGTTTAACACTGCTTTGAACAGTAATCCAGTCATATCACGGCGTGTCAGCTTAATGTTGCAAGTCTCAGCGGTTTACCACTTTGGTGAAACCCACAACCATGAGTATGGTGCTGACCTAGAAAAATAATCAAGGCGAACCACGATTGAAATCAATAGGTTTCTGGCATGCCCAAGGGATGCAACTCTGCACAGCAAATACTGGTCCACCCATGCCCCCTCATGCCTGAGTTGATGTCACTTACAAATGACATTGTTGCTATGACTTCAAGTTGAGACTATGTCATCAAAAGAGGCTACCAGTCTCATTCTTGTGGTCTGTTCTTGTTTTCCTTTATTTTTTGCCCTTGACTAGTATCTTCAGGCCAGAACACAATCAAGGGTAAGTTCTTCATTATTCATTACAATTGTGTACATAAAGAGTGTACCTGTGAAGATCCAGGTTAGAATAGGTCTTCAGCAATCCACGCTTGCTGTAAAAGCGACAATGCTTGTCGTAAGAAGCTAACGGAATTAGGTGGTCAGACTCGCTCAGACTGATGCTCATCATGTCAGTCACTTGACTGTCTGGTCCAGACTCGATTATTTACAGACCACCATTGTACAGCTGGAATATTGCTGAGTATGGCGTTTAACAACAAACAAACATGTAGAGTGAGTGAGTATGATTTTACACTGGTTTTTTTCAATGTTCCAGCAAAATCACTGGGATGGACCCCAGAAATGTGTCCATGTAGATGAACTATCAGTGGATGACGTACCTCCTGTATGCCGAGGTTGAGGTACATGAGGAAGAGGTGGAAGTATTGCTGCAGATGTCTGCCATGTTCTGACACCTCCTTCCTCATGAGAGCTAGCACAGCCACCAGCAGGTGATCACTCAATGTGGCATTGGGGTCTGCAGCCTGGCCAGCAGCTGAAACACACATATACATTAACATCAACCCTCGATACTGTGAATATCTGTACAAATACATACATATCTGGCCTATCAAATATGGCAGGAATTGGCCAATCCAATTTTAAAGGGAGAGAAATGTTGTCCTTCACCCATGGCAAACATTGTGTTTCTAGTAATTCAGGTAACTATTTTTGTCTCTGAACAAATCTTAAACAACCATCCCCTAGATTTAAAAGAGAAATAGAAGACAGATTTGTTTGAGCAACAAAACAAGAACTCTTTTTCAACATTACATGTCTCCATCAATATTGTTCATTGTGAATAGCAGGAATAAAAGATTGACAATGATCAAGATGCCAAAGTAATAGGCAAGACTGAATTTCCCACCGAACAGGTGTCACCAACTTCCTTGTCTGGACAATAAAAGGAATTGTTGATATTTCACTAATGTGATAAATAGTAAGTGAGACTATATGTTCCACTTCAGGGTCCAATCAATGCCCATATCTAGAGTATGATCACGGTGGTCAGGGATTTATCAGGGATTCCAAATAGAGTAAAAGAAAGTGACCTTAGCCAGCAAATCAGTACAAAAGATTTTACTGTTTAAACTTGTCAGTGTTTGAAATTAAACATGAAAGTCAAGGGGTCCTTGTCATTGCCCTAATGTTTTTCTGCAGACTTTCTGCAGAATATCGGCCACTGAGCAGGTCTAGATAAATCCCTGGTGGTGTAAATTCTGGAAGACATAAAAGCCTACACTCACCATACAGCCCCTGTACCAAGGGTGGAGGACATGGTCCATCTTGCAAGGAGAAGTGTGCCAGTATCACAATAATCTTCGCAAATGCACTCCGCACCTAAACCCACAAACAGTGATATAATATAAAATGAAGTTGCACAATGAGCGAGAGAAAGCTATAAAGCACCCTCACTTTACAACCATACAGTTCATTACAACAGAAGAGTTTAAGCTAAACTGTTTCAAATCATAATCAACCAATATTCCCATGTGACATGGTGTATGATATGTATCATTATACATAAGGTAAAGCCTTAAGTATTAAATTATAACCAAGACCTACTAACTAACTACTATATCAGACCTGTTTGCCCCTAACTGGCCATACCAGTATTTCACTAAGAATCTGTCAGTAGTTTCAGCTAATTGTCAGTAGTCATTTTTTAATTAACTTGTTAGAACCTTATTAATATCATATTCTTAAAATCCTGTTTCTTTCACCTGACTTCTAGTCCACCCTTTTTTCAAAATCAGTAAGAACTACAGAGTGAGTGAGTGAGTACGGTTTTAGCCGCTTTTAGCAATATTCCAGCAATATCACGGCGGGGGACACCAGAAATGGGCTTCATACATTGTACCCATGTCGGGAATCAAACCCGGGTCTTTGGCGTGATGAGCGAAAGCTTTAACCACTAGGCTACCCAACCGCTCAAGAACTACAGAGAAACTGTGAGCAAACAGGTCTGCTATACACTGTACTATGGAGAAAGCCAAATGTGTACTTAATGCTCACCTCAGAACTAGGACATTCTAGTAAGTACTCTGCAAATCTAGATGGGTGAGCAAACAGCACATTGTGTGCAAACCAGCTGCGAACACTCTTGCTGTATCTCAGGTGTATATGCAGTGCATCGTACCATTCACTAGCAGAGCACCTGTAAACAAATCAGGTTTCAATAATACAAAAATAGTCCGGCAGTGTTCAAAGCCTGTTTCATGTTTCTAAGCCAATCATGTTAACAAACATCATTAAATGAATCGCAGATGTTAACCAAATTGTTTGAAATGCAACAAGATGAGCAAGTGTAAAACTGTATGGCACTTTTATCAATATTCCATCAATATGCTCTAACGCTAGCCCACCCCACTGCCACTCACATGAAAATGATTCCATTCTCAGCAAAAGCAGTACTTAATATTAAAACAATTTTGCTAGTCTGATTTGTTTATTTGTTTGGTATTCAACACCGCACTCAGCAATATTCCAGCTGTATGACGGTGGTCTGTAAATTAACGAGTCTGGAACAGACAATCCAGTGATTGACATCATGAGCATTGATCCACTCAATTGGGATACAATGACACGCATGAACCAAGTCTGACCAGCTGATCCCGTTAGTCGCCTCCTACGACAAGCATAGTCGCCTGGCTGTCTGAGACAAGTATAATTCAGGAAGTACTGGTGACATTTCCTTGTGGAATAATTTCTAACCCTGAATAGTCCAGCAATAGAATGGCAAATGATACGAGGAGTGGTCTCTAAACATCGTTCCCATGTGGGGAACTGTACATGGTTCAGTAATATTCCAGCCATATGATGGCGATCTTAACAATCAAGTCTGGACCTGAGATCCATGCAATCAGGGTACAATGATATGCAAGTCAAAGTCTGACCACCCAATCCAATTAGTCGCCTCTTAAAATAAGCATAGGTTACTGGGGACCAATATTCTTTAGCATGACAATTCAATTGCATGAAGTTACTAACTCACCTGAGTGTTTTCTTTGTATGAAAGCCCACATTGAAGAGGAATTTAGATGCTAACTCAACACTGATCATAGCTATCTGTTCTGCTTCCTGTGTCTGAAATAAGCCCAAAACTTTAATAAGACTGTGGGATGAGAACTTAATTAGGCAGATGAACAGTAACAAGTAACAGAACCAGAATGCTATAAGATTTCTGCTGAACAGTGGCATGTGTTGCAGCCATTACCACGTAATACGAAACTTATTAAGTGGTATGCCCTGTTTAAGCTAAATACGGCAATAAACCTACCATTTTCTCTTGTATGGCATGATTGAGTGTGATATGATTGCATGTGAGAAGTTTCTTCATGAACTGGAAGTACTCCATGGAGAACTGGTTCTTCTCGTGCATGAACAAGATGTTCTGTTTCCGAACAAGTCTGTCGATGGCTGACGGCATCATCACATGTGACACTGTACTTGCTGTGAAGACAAGAAACATCTTACTGTCCTGATCAAACAAAAATATCCCACCTAATCTACTAGCTGTGACGACATAAGAAACATCTTACTATCCAGATCAAACACTAATGTGCATTTAACATTTTGACACATGTTTAAATCATAACACTGATAACCTTGTAAGCAATAAGGGAGTACATTCTCTCCATATTGAAGATGCTGAAAGCTCTAACTTCAAGATTTCCTTGAAATTGGAGGCTCTCTATTCACATACTGAACAAATACTAATTTAGTATCAAATAGTTCACTTTTTGGTGTAAAGGCATATTTAATAAACTTACATAATGAGAGTTTCAACAATTCTTTTGACAATGTTTCTTCCTTTTCATCTTCGTCAATCCTCTCGTAGAACAGAATGTATGCATTCCACCATCTCTTTTGGCGCCTAACTGCAGATCTGTGATAAGAAATACCAATAATATTGAATGATGTAACTAGCAACTAAAATCTCACCGAAATCAAAAGCGGTCTTATTTCATTACATTCAGTGCTTCTAGATTCAAAGATTCTAATTCAATTATCAAAATAAAAATGTAACACCTGCGTCTTCCATGCATTGCTCTCTTAAATTTTGGCAACACTAAAAGCAGGTCACAAAAAGTCTTTGTTCAAGGCAACCTCCACAAAAAGGCTACAGGCCAAACTTGACTGAAAGTACCTTTTCACCATGGTTAATTTGATTTTTTAATTTGATTTATACTTATACACTCTCCAAGTCAGCAGCATGTCTTTCTGTCCAATAGTAATTATTTTATGGCCTGTATGAAAGAATCCACATATTCGTAATGATAGCCTATTTCATCTGTGAATATCATGTTAAGAAAAATTTGCAATAATAGGGTTCTACAAGACATCTCAACATATAAATGCAACACAATATGCAACCAAATACCTTTTTAGCATGTGGTCATACACTTCTCCCAAATATTCTCCTCCGAAACACTGATTCTTCATTTCCTGAAAAATTGAAACATACCATCTGTGTTTGCTTGTTTGTTGATTAACGTCGCACTCAGCAATATTCCAGTTACATGAAAGCGGTCTATGACATCATGAGAATCTATCCACACAATCTGGATACAATGACATGCAATCATACAAGTCACCGAGCCTTACCGCTTGATCCATATTGTCTCCTGTTACAACAGGCATAGGATGATTGAGTCTTAAATTCTTACCCAGAATCCCCATTGGTAAATACTATCTGTGAAAGCTCTCAATACGTATTAAATGACACTGTTACTTACTCAGAACTGTTCAGTTATAATATGTATTAATCTCAGGAAACGAGAGGAAACAACTCCAATTATTCTGAAATTACTATTGACGACAACAAGTTATCACATCTCAGTCTGAAACAACGGACTAGTCGTCTGGCTCATCATTGTCAAACTACTTATTCTAATACAAACTTACATCATCATCATCCATCTTGCATTCCGTGACGTCTCCATCATCAAACTTGTACCACTTTGGATGAGGATCAGCAGCACCCCTGTAGAGGCCAGACAAACAGAGTATACTACCACAGTCACAACATGTACAGTCATTATCTTCACCAGACTCAGGGTTAAACACAGACACTAGTCCCACGCTTTTCTCCCCAAATCTAGTTGGGTTACATAAACCACTAGTCTGAATGAGCTGCAGTTGGAGTCAACATGAGGTCTACCCTTAGTGAGTGAGTGAGTGAGTATGGTTTTACGCCGCTTTTAGCAATATCACGGCAGGGGACACCAGAAATGGGCTTCACACATTGTACTCATGTCGGGAATCGAACCCAGGTCTTCAGGTGACGAGCCAACGTTTTAACCACTAGGCTACCCGACCGCCCCGGTCTACCCTTAGATTCGAGGAAGCATCTCAACACAGTATCAACCTTAACATTAGCTACAGCAATGCAATTTCAATCTAAATCAGAGAATAATCTTTGCATTCAACAGTTACTAAATAAGGCAGTTCCTCAGGTTTCATAACAGTTACCAAAAGGAAGTTAATGGTGTTTAATGCCAAGGGTAGCAATATTTAAGTTGCATAATGACAGCCTGAAAATTAACAAGCAAATGAATACTGTAAGTGATGAAATGAATGCATTCTGAAAATATCCAAGTACAAGTACCAAAAGAAAATTGCGTTACTTAATAAATGACTGATCCCCTACTTCTTTCTCTTAAGTCAAACAGGATACTACTAAAAATCACACCACTGATTGCTACTGGGGTGAAAACTTCATCATCTCACATCTCCCAAGCTGATGTTTTCCTTCAAACAACACACAATGCTCCAAAGCGGAACATGTGTTTTAAAATAAGTGATAACACAGAGACTGTATCAACTCATTCATGTTGGCTCACAACCAAGTGGCCAGGCACAAAGAAACCACCTTGTATGGGTGTCACCTGTCTGACAAGCTTTAGTGAGCAGGACGATATGAAAGTCATTGACATCTCACAGTGAGTAGAATTCACAAAGCGAATTGTTATGGGGTTTTACGAGTGTTTCCTGCATCAAGAAAACTAGTAATCACGAACAGAGTTTGGATGTTGAAAATGCATAAGAAAAATGCAGCATTTTATTAATGCGAGCTACATTTTCACATTAATATCCTGCTCGCATTAATTCCATGAATTACAGTATAACACTGATTATACCAGAGTTAGCTACATCGCAGCAGCTTGTAAATAATCAAATCTGGACCAGATAAAACACTGGTTGATGAGCATCAATCCACACATAGGATTTTGATGACACCCAAATTAATGAGCCTCTATCAATCAAACCTGTGGTCTGTTGCCTGAACCCCGATCAAGGCCATCAGGCATCCTGACAATTGGGTGGTATTTCTACTGAACAAGGGACAAGACATCATTCTCACCTGTGTAGAATATAGGAGTAGTAATGTCCTCCACTGGCCTGCCCACTGTGAACCACCACACCTATCAACTTGTACTTGGTGCTCTGAGGACTTTCATCTAGATCACCATCAATTATTTCTCCTGGAATGCAGAGCGAGGAACAAATGCATCATGATAGCAACTTCTGTTCAAATTGTATACTTAAAGGAGCGATCATATATTTTCAGAAAAAGTTGCCAAACATTCCAATACAATTACATTATTTTGTTTGAGATCAGAGCCTCTGTGTTTGAAAATGCTGTCAGTCTAAAGGAGATGATCTATATTGTATTGCTTATGCAGGAATCACAGTTGCCAGTCTTAGACAATGGGACTGGTTCTAGTTCCAACATTACTTTCACTCTTTCAACACCAGTCAACCAGAAGTGTTTACTGCTGGGACACCGAGTTCCCAGAGACTCTTGTGTGATAGATGAAGCCAACATTTATCAAAGAAAATACCTGCTTGTAAAATATATTTGCTACTACATGTTATACACCATTTGAAAGGTCTGATCCTATGGTTTATAAATATGAAAGTTATGTTTTTCACATTATTTAAAATAATGCATTTACAACTTAATTAAATTCGTTGTAAATAAAAAATGTACGCTAACACGTTGTTAACATCCAGATTAAGGACCAAGGAAGCGAAAACTTGACGATTTTCGGCAAATATATGATTTCATAATATCCACGTACCTATTTCTGTTTTATTTTCATTGTTTACGTAATTGGAAAATCATTTTAAAAAGAATTATAAATGGTTTCTGTCATCACCCATTTCCCGATAACAGCGACTGTCCGCTCAGTAAAATGAAGAAATACCATCGTTTTCGAAGTTTCGTATGAATAACACGTTCGTCGAAGAATGGCATATGACACATCGCTGGAAAGCTTATTCCTTCATCTACACGCTCGTAACATCGACTGGTTTTTTTCGTAGTTATAACAAGCAATTTCATTGGATTAAAATTGGTTTCTAATGACGCTTTCTTGCGGAAATCTGCTACAAGTTTCGTGATTGGTCAATTTTGAGCACGTGACCTAAGGCAGCCAATCAAATTACAGCTGTGATACCAAGCTCGTGTTCGATAAATTACAGAAGTTTGCGAAAGAATTTTGTTAAATCGTGTTATTCTGAACGTTTTGAGCAGGAAATCACGATATATATTAAAAATATGGAACTTCGTGAATGTATCGTGCTAGGTTACGAGCTGTGACAAAGATTTTTCATGCATATATTTTTGCATTAAACATCGTGTCCGAGCCGAGAATTCAAGGCGACGAAAGCCGAGATGTCATTTGACTTACATTACACGCGATCGCACGAAAAGATGGAAATAATAACTTAGATGTAAGTTTGATTACTTTTAGATATATTTTTGTTGATTTTATTTATTACTTTGTATAATATATTTAAAGATTTGTTTAAAACGTCTTTTTTTCCCTCTTTGACGTGTTCGATGTGGACCCGTTGTCGAAATGTGTGTCCGAGAATTTTATTTTCAATAACATCGCGAGAAATAGTGAATAATTTTTTAATTTAACGATAAAAAATGTTAAATTGAAATGGAATATGTATTTCAGACATTGTGAAATGTGATAGATTTTATAAATTTATGACATTACAGGTAGGTCCATAAAAATATATACTATTTTGACGTGACTACGGCTTGGCCGGATAACCGGCCTGCGGTGTCTGGTGACTCGATGCTTCTTGGCCGGATAACAGGCCTAGGGTGTTGAAAGAGTTAAGGCAGGGTCAATGTGTTTGTCTTGGGGCATATACAGGCTAAATCACAAAAACTCCATGAAGAAGCAAATATGGATAACATGGCTTCTTCATGACGCAGGGATAATTCTAGGGTGGGGCCTGGTGCTTGTAGCCCCTAAATTAAAAAAAGGCCAACATTTTAAAATACAATGGGGCATTAAACATTGTGCTGCAAGTGTGGGTGTACCTCTGGAATATTTGAAATTTTCACATAAAGGGCCCATGACAGAAAATTCCAAGAGTGAACCCTGATGATGTATTCCATCCCCGTTCAAAATGCACCATAAGAGATGCTACCTATAGCAACTACATCCAGTACAACTGCTATGCTATGACATCCCATTCACTGATAACTTCAACTCCATAAACAGATCCACAAGGTTACTGACCTTCTATTTTGGCAAGACCTTGAACTGTGTAGGGTTCCATGTCAAATTTCCGTGGAAACTCAAAGTAGTCATTGAACTTGATTGCACATTCCCTGGAAGAGATAAATTAACATTCGAAACAATTGTAACTTAAGGTGACTACCAACGTCTTAAGATATTTGTCATAACTGATCATGTTTTAAAAGTTCAACAAGAGACGACTTATAATTTCACAATTTGAGACAGAACACTGCAAGGACATACCTTTCCCAGTCATAGTCAAATCTCTTTAACTGGATGGCCAGGATTTTTGGCAGTTTCTTTATCACAAGTCTTTTAACTGTATCAACCTGAGAAATGAAATACAAAGAATAGTAAACTACATGGAATACAATAGCAAGAGAAACATATTTGAAAGACACAATGACAAACTTCAAAACATTTCAACATTTGTCAACTATGGCATTTGTCAGGAATATTTCAGATGCTTCACAGCAATTTGTAAATATCTCGACGGCTGGAACCAGTGACAGAATGCATGAGCAATGTTCCGCATCATCTGGGCACAATGACACACATTCGTGACCATCATCAATACTTCATGGATGTGTATAAACTACATTCCTCCATGCCCGTTATTACATAAGGACTATTTGTGGTGAAGTAACGCCTATTGTATAGATAGTCAGTTTTTTGTGTGTTTAACACCACACTATACAATATTTCAGCTAAGGGACGGCAGTCTATAAATAATCAAGTCTGGAACAGACAATCCAGTGATTGACATCATGAGCATCGATCTATGCAATTGGGATACAAAGACATGCATCAACCAAGTCAGTGAGCCTGACCACCCAATCCCATTAGTCGCCTCTTACAAGCATTGTTTGATGAAGACCATTTGTAACCCACTCTTCATGGGAATTTCTAGTCAGATAATAAAATGAGGCCGTATATAACAAATAAGTCCTATTACGCAAACCGACTTTGTGCCAACCCTAACACTGCCTGATATTGAAGCAATGTGTAGACTGGTAGAAAACAAGACAGCTGTATGTATTCATGGTTGATCAAGAACGTAGTGAATACAAGCTAATGAAGTATTGATGATGATCTTTGACAAAAGGTAGGAAATACAGTGATTCCTAACTCACCTTCTTGTTGCATTTTTCACAGTGATATGCGTTGGCACCTTCTAACAAGTCTCCTTTGACGTACTGTTCTAGAGACTCAAACAGATTTTGATGATTCCTAATATCTACATTCAGAGTTGTGAAAGCTTCTTCTCTTTGATACCTGAAGACAAACAGCACACAGTTAACAGATAAATACCATGTATATTCTTCCTAATAGTCCTAACATTCTCTGACTGCTTTCATTGATGCAGTAGAAAAATAGCATAAAGTTCATAACAAAAACATAGTTTATTTATCTTTAAACACTCCTAAAATATCTCTTCTGACATAAGTTACATCAATGATATCAACACTATGGAAACATGTACCTACCTATGAGGACAATCTTTACAAATCTTCTGATCAGCAAACGATCCTCCTAAAACCTTTGTCATTGCCATTGGTTGTCCTAAAACTTTTAAACTCTCATCTAAGCTGTCGACTAGACTGTTGAAGAATTCTAAAGCATCATGTTGCTCTCTCAGGTTGACCGGCTCTCCCCATAATCTAGAAAAAGAAATATGCATCCAGCATTTTATTATTACAAAGACATCTTTCAAAATCAAACTATTAGTTTTCTTTCTTCGACAAAGCAATTGCGTCACTACAATTGCAATAACTCTTAAGAGACTTACAACAGTCCTAGAGATAAGATTACTTTGTCTCATACCTAGCAAATATCAACATATACACAGGATTTGGGCATATGACAGTGGTGTACAATACCAATTAATTAACAGTAAGGTGTTGATGTTCTGATGTTGCACTCACTTGAAGTGTTTCCAGAAGCCCCTTGGTACATGATACTGCAGTCTGCTTGCGGCGAGATGCCCGAAGATGACCTGGATCTGTTTGAGAACCCCCATGTGATAGTCCTTCCTCTCCTCCACCTTGTTCCCCTTGTCATCGTCCTTCTTCTCCTCCTCACTTATGTCAACATTTGTCTACAATACAACAGTCTCACCTTAGTACAATCCATTTTAGGCCAGAGGTAAATCATGCATTTCATTGACTTATTTTTTATGTTCACCATTTTTTGCACAGGATTGTAATTGAACTTAAGGTTCACTTGTCATGGTATATATGTAGCAATGCCAATGAAATGTAATTAGAGTTACAAGCCCTTCCTTGTAAGGAGGTAATTAACAGTCAGTCAGTGAGTATGTATGGTTTTACGCCGCTTTTAGCAATATTCCAGCAATATCACTGCGGGGGACACCAGAAATGGGCTTCACATGATGTACCCATGTCAGGAATCGAAGCTGGGTCTTCGGCATGACGAGCGAATGCTTTAACCAAAAGGCTACCCAACCGCCCACGTCATTAACAAGCCAGTCAAGTGATTGTAGCTATTTGTCCGAATCACAAGTCTCTAACAAGCATGAAATACCAATATGACATGTCCGGTTGTGTGCAAGGCATTAGCCCTCCGGAAACGAGCACAACAGTCATTTTCAGTCTAAGTTAAAGACATTGCCATGGAAACCCGAAAAATAAATTTGTAAAAAATCCTTAACTATCAAAAGGCACCAGTTCACCACTAGACCTATCTATGTCCCAAGTTTTGTTAAGATATCTCTAATGGTTTTTGAGTTCTGCTCAGGAAACGAAACATGGCAGACAAACAGGACGGATGGAGAGCACCCATCAATTGAAAATGTGAACAAGAGTAACTTTGTGAGTAGTAGTAGTAGTAGTAGTAGTAGTAGTAGTAGTAGTAGTAGTAGTAGTAGTAGTAGTAGTAGTAGTAGTAGTAGTAGTAGTAGTAGGCCTTCTTGTACCATCTTTGAGTTTCACTTACCTCCCCTTCTGCTTTTTCATCATTCATGAACTCTTCCTCAATGTCATCAGCTGCACCCTCCACACCAAGAATACCATTGCGGATCGGCTCAATCATAAACAACTGAAATATACAACATGTATAGCTATGAATACAGTGTCATTGTTCTAGGGCCTAATTGTATTGTTGCAGAGGGAATACCATAGTGTTCAACATAGTGATATCCACCAAGTGTGTTATGAAAAGAATTGAATAATTCCCATGTGATACTGGCAGCATTTCTTAATGGAAAAATGTTTAAGAGTCAGAATTTTATACTTCCATCTTTAAGCAAATTTAAAAGCATTCATGCAGTTTTTATCTCTGATGAACTGCTACCGAGTCTATTAATTTGTCTCTTTAACCTTGCCGACATAACTTTGGATCTAGGTATTGAGTGCCCAACACTCACTTGTTGTAATACAGAATTCATGTAACATGTTGCACCAGCATTCTTCAAACCAACAAAGCCTTTGGATGGCCTTGGCCCAACGGGTGGTAAGTACTCCCACTCTGACAATGGGGTCTCATCTGTAAAGAAAAGAAAATGTACAAATTATATATCCAAACACACTTCAAATCATATTGAACTTGGCCAAGTTCCATGCAAGAAGCCAAATACAGCCACCAAGAGCATGCTTTGTTTATACAGACAAGATACAAGATATATTTAAGATGTGGATACACTGGATACACTTGATTCACTGGACACACATACTGACAAGTTTTCAGACAAGTAGCTTTCCAAGACAATTACTTCCAAGGGGTTGAAATTAAGGGGGTCCTGGTGTCATCAAATGTTGCTCCTATAGCATTTGATTCTATGGACCCTTCAATGTTTACACTTAAAAGTTAGGGCAATGATAACGACCCCATGACTTTCATGTTTAATTTCGAACACTGATTTCCTCCAACTGTAATTTATTAATGCACTAATATACAATGAACACTTACTAGTATAATACATATCAATGATCATGGCGGCAAGGAAGCGCAGGTTGTGCACGCAGCCAGTGCACAGCGCTACCAGGAGATCAAAAGCTGCTATCACAGTCACGGGGGAAGAGCAGACAGGCACAGCCTGCTCTGCCGGAAAATCACCATTCAATTTGCGACACTGTAAGACTATCTTGGATGCTGGGAAGATAAAATCTTCTACTATTTCCTGAAAGAGAAAAAGAAGGATTGCAACACAGTCAAATATTCATTCCTACAAAACAACCCTAAAAATACTTCCTGATATAATAACATCACATGCTCCATTATAACAAGACACTGACATGTTACATCACAAGATTTGCATGTCAGCCAGCAGCTGAATCATGACGTTGAGTACATCTGCTAAGCATCAAGGTTACAAAACCTGTGATTTACACCAGGGCACTAAGTACATGAGACAAGAATACAAGCAGTCTTCTCACCCTGATGAGATTAGCTCCTCCCTTCTCTGAGCCAATGTTGAATTTCTTCTCTGGGGACTGGAACGCAAGGAGCTCTCGTGTGATGCCCAAGTGCCCCTCAAGTAACGCCTCTTCTGTCTGCACCTCGGAACCATTCAACACATAGTCCTGCAGAAGCAAACATCACACTGACTAAATCTACATTTCAACTTCTTTACAATAAACGTTGTTGTAACAGTTTCCTATGCAATCAATAAATCCTAATACATGTCGGCCTACTGGTAAAGAGATATGCTTCCTAACACACAAATCTCGGTTAGCCCTGATTATGTTTCTAGGTTTGTCAGCACCATACCTGTGCTTGTGGGTTTTACCAATGTGGTAAACGTCTAAGACCTGCATCACTTCGGGCGTTCTTCCCACAATAAGCTGACACACTGTGATATAACTGGAATATTGTTAAAAGCGGTCTAACCATACTTGACACATAGAAACACAATTGCAGATGGGACATTTTTAAAGGAAGACAGCAAACATGAATAGTGAGTGAAAACATACAACTGTATGTCAGCTTAAAATGGGAAAATAGCCAAACCTGAGGCTAGTCGTATCTAACTACCACTTAGGTGAAAGGCATGAGAATTTGTATGCCTCTGACAGGCCTAAGGTTGGGGTGACCTGGGAATGAAGCCCATGACAAGCAGAGTCTCTCAGCCAAAGACGCAACTCTGAAAAGTGAGTTTGTGCATCTTCAACCCCTTGGTCACACATGCCATCTTATAAGAATGCTACAGTAACGAAGGAAACAAATATGTCACCTGTTTCAGTCATCTCTATGAATGTCTCTGTAAACTATTTACCTTTCTAAACATAACGTGATGATTCTACTTACCCTGACTTTTTTCAACCATGCTATTTCATTATTCAGCAACGCTTCTGCTGTAGAGAGACTAGCTTCACTCGCAAATGCATAACTTAATAATCTGAAAAGGAGAAACATATTTTGTACTGAACAGGTAGACAACTGTACTGCTTAGGGTGAAATCTTAGATGTGTTGATCTACAAAAATCTTTCCTCAGGCACAAGGTGATACTTACCTACATAAAAGCTGAAAATACTCATGTGACTGTTTTGCATTGTCTTTTGCAGTTGTCTGAAACAAAATCAGAGCAATCAATGATAAAATGGTGGGAACAAACAAGTCTTCACAATTTGGAGAATATCAAAGAAACTGCCAATATTTTTTATGCACAGACAAAATAGATCAAAACATTTTGAATTCTGTAACCATTATAGTGTTTGTATGGGTTTTTTTAATGCTCAATGCCCTACTCAGAAATATTCCAGCAATATGACAACAGCCTGTATACAACAAACTGGACCAAACAAACCAGAGATTGATAGGAGCAATGTCCTTGACTGTCGGGGTGAGGTGACATACAATCAACCCAGTCACCAAGCCCAACCACTAAGTCACTTCTTCATGCATAAGATGCTCGGGATTCTAATACTGAATTCACAATAGCAAATGTGAATAGGCTTATTCTGCTCTTAGCAATATTCAGGCCATACAAGGTGTAGGCATTACACACTGAGGGATTCAACCCAGGGTTTAGTATGATCAGCAAACACGTTACCCACAGAGCTACCCTACCGCATTCTACTACATAGGGGGGCATGGGTTGTCCAGTCGTCGAAGGCGCCGCGAATCGCTGTGCAGAGTTGCGTCCCTCAGACATGCCAGAAACCTATGATTGTGGGTTTGAATCCCGGTTTACCCCGATTAAGTTTCTTGGTTTGTCAGCACCATACCCGTGCTCATGGGGTTCACCAAACTGGTAAACGTCTAAGACTTGCACCACTTCGGGCTTTCCTCCCACATTAAGCTGACATGCCATGATATAACTTGAGTACTGTTAAAAGCAGCGTTAAACCTAACTCACTCACTCGCTCTACTACATAGGTTTCTGTCAATCAATGTACATCATTTCAACTTGGATCTGGCAAAGGATCTCAACATTGTTGTTAGTGCAATATTCTTATGTCACATTTTCCACACAGTGATGATAATTCAGCAATGTTGCAGCTATATGACTACTGTCTGTAAATAATCGAGTGTGGACCGGACAATCCAGTGATTGACATCATGAGCATCGATCTATGCAATCGGGATAGGATGACATGCATCTACCAAGTCACTGAGCCTGACCACCCGATCCCTTTAGTCGCCTCTTACAACAAGAGAGACCAATTCTTCACGAGACCTTCACAAAACCCTAGGTTATGGGATCTTGTGTGAACATTCTGAGCTGGAAGGACCTACTCACCGACAGAACTGTGAAGAGCAGAGTAATCATGAAATGCTGGGGTCTGTGACTTGTACTGCATCGTGTGGCCATCAGGAAAAACTGGTCAGAGGCACAGATCCTCACAGATCGACTGAAAACATGCAACAGTATTACCTAAAATATTCTCTAATCCAATAACAAGTCAAAGATCAGTAAAACAAGCATTGAAACAACATGAGAATGAACTCATTGCTTCAGTCTGCAATATGACAGTTATGGAAACAAGACAACAAGTGAGAAGGGTCACTTATACCCCTGACTTTGACTCCAACATATTTCTAAGTTCAAAACATGAAAAAAGCAATCTTTTTTTCAGAAAATCCAATGCACCTCTCCCATTGGTATAGAAACTGTACTCCCAAATGGAAAAGAATCAATGAAGTAGTTTTCAAGTCACAGTTTGTACAAATGTTGAAGTAAAAAAATTCTAAGTAAAGAAATATAAAAAAAAGCTGTATTTTTCAGAAAAAACAAATACTGATATCAAACTTCACACGGCACCCTTCCTGTAGGTACAAAAAGTGTTTACCAAGTTTGAAATTGTAGTAGTTTTCAAGTTATAGGTTACACAAAAAAATGTCCTTCGATGGAAAGACGGAATTCATTGGTATAACTATATACCCACCCACCCACCCTTTTAGGTCAGGGGTATAATAATCATGTCTACTGGGGCTTATTCTTCCCCAGTAGCCCAAACGGTTGCAAGCAGGAAGAATGTATCTGCTCCAGCCAGAGTTGCTCTCACCTGCTTCTACAGAGGAGCAGCAGATCAATGATGAAGCACTGCCAGGCCTTGTCCTTGTGTAGAGCATCCAGTGCTGCAGGGAACAGCGCCAGACACACTGTCAGCACTTCTAGGGCTTCTCGAGCCACTCCGATATCCTCCATGTCAGAGGGCATGCAGTCTTTAGGCTGAAACAGCAGGGTTTGCTTCAGAGTCAACTAGGCAGCAGGCAGTTCTGGTATTTACAACAACACTAAGCAATGGTGTTACCAATCTGTCTTTGAGAGAAATCATTTAAAATAAAATTAAAATCAACATCATATTCATACATGAAGTTAGGTAACAAATTCAACAGCCTTCAGTACCACGGCATATTGTTTTATTTCTGGGAAGCAAAATAACTTTCCTTATGTATAACCAGGAATTATACATTAGGTAGCCATACATAATTCAGGATTCACTCCAGGAATTTTCTGACATAAGCCCTTTATGTGAAAATTTCAAGTATTCCAGAGGTACACTCACACTTGCCCATGCAGCACAATTTTAAAATGCCCCATTGTCTTTGAAAAAGTGGGCCTTTTTACAAATGAAGGGGCTAAAAGGCCCCACCCTAGAATTATCCCTGATAATTTCTACTTTTGATAAATTGCAATTTTGTGCAAACAAATCAGGGGGAACCTTAGTTCTGTTCCCAAATTGCACGATAGGTGGATGGTTTGATGTACAGGAATGTTTGTATTTCTTACTAGCTCTATTTATTTGTATAGCATAGGCCACAGTAGCCATTACTTGAATACTTCTTCGACATACTTACTTTCTCATGTGCTCTATGTATATCCTCTATTGAGGCGTGGACAAGATGAAGAGAACAGCTACTAGCTGCCCAGGCTATCTTCTGTATGGACTTCACTGTCGCCAAGTCTGGTAACACACCAGTGGCCTGCAATCAAGTCAGAATAGAAGTCAGGAAATAACTCCAACCAAGAACTCACAAGTATCTTTTGCTTAATACATACAATTGTCATTTTCAAAGATATCACTCACTTTAGCTACAGATATAGTCAGAGATTGTAGCTAGTTTGTAGCTAGTGCTGTTTTGTCAAAAGCGACAAAAAATGTTTATTATGTTTACATCAGGTTTGTTCAGTTCCAATTTGTAGCAAAAACTGAAAACTTGTTCATAACTGAAGCCCTCAAATGCTACAAGTCAATGAAGGCTGCTATCATTTGATTTTTACTTGTCCTCAGCACAATGTAACAGCCTCGGACATGCAGACTAACATGAATTTTGAAGGTTGTCTATATGGTAACCAACTACAAACTACTAATGAGCACTTACCTGTTCTCCTAGATTCTGCCCAAGTCTCAATGCCACATTTCTGGTGGTGAACTCTGCATCAGGACTGGGAATATGTAGCAGAGCCTGTTGTAATGCTGCAGCCTGGTTGTGCTCCACGACAGACACAGCTGGCACCTGGGACTCGGAGTGACAAGCATCCACCACAACCTGTACCTTCGCATGACCCACCGTCGTCAGCATCAACTTACACACCTTCAGAACAGTCAGGTATGCAGCTCTGAAAACAAATCCATATCATAAAATATCTGAGAATATCATCAAATACAGAACATGTAAAATGTCAAATATTAGTGACAAAGAAGCTGATGCCACAGTCAGCAATATCTCAGATTATATGGCGATTTGGAACAATCAAACCAGATGTTGATACTATCATCCAATTTTAACACTGAATTGGTCATTACAAAGCATAGAATGAGTGCCTGACAAATCACCTCCAGTACATACATCTAGTTTCACTGATGGGTAATATTCAAATGATCTGTTAGATACCTTCGTGTTGGCAGGTCAGCATTTGGCAAAAAGTTGTTCTTGGTCAGCATGTTGATGGAAAGCTGAACACCTCCGCTCCTCACAAAGTTCAACTACAATTGAGGACAAAACCAACAATGATACAACATTCAAAACATGTCTCAAACACAGTTAGTCCTAACTTGAAATAAAACACAAATTATCAGAATATGCTAATAGACCAACGAAAATAACTTCCTCAGTTCAGCAATCCTTACAAGGAGATGAAGTCAATGTAGGTTTGACTTATCTACATATATCTGAAACTGGACTGACCTGAAACTCAAAAGCCTCTTCAACCAATGGATCCACTGCAGGCATCAGCAAACTGTAAGCAGTCTGGAAAAGAACAGAAACGATTGATTTCAAGTTTACCTCAACATCAACATGATCAAGTATTTCTAAACCGAGAAAGAGTATATAGAATGTACTATCATGTCTATTAACTATTAACAGAGCTTGTCAAGCTGCAAATAACACAAGGTTCTTCACAAAAGTTTCAAAACTAACACCATACACACATATATATGTTGATCAAAAACATAATGTGAACATATATGTAAATTTATGAAGCTTTTCTTACCTCAATATTATAGAGCACTTGAGTAGGAGAAGAATTGAAGAACAATGCTTCAAGGGTTACTGCCACAGTTCCATCAGCCTTGGCATTTTCAGAACAAATTGCTCGGAATTTCTGAACAGTTGTCCCGTCTGCAGTGTAAAACAGTGATAAGAAATGTGCACAATGAAGGATACTGTTAAACAATGGTTGAATGTGAATTGTGTATTTATTTATTTATTTGTTTGTTTGTTTATTCATATGTGACTTTTTTGTATGTGTTTATAGAGGTACTGTGTGCTCACCTTTTTTTCACGCTTACACCTCTACAAACGTGAAAGAACTGTGGAAATCAAATCTTGACTAAGGAAGACATCAACATACCAGCGGGCATCAGCTTGAGTACTGCTCTGGCTGTATCTCGTAGTTTTGGTACTTGCAGCTGACCACCCAGGTCAGACAGTTGGAAGAGAAACTGAGCATATCGAGGGTCTTGAGCCATCAGCTGGAACACAACAGCATAATGGCATGTCACCCTTATCACACATACATACAGGGGGCTGCTCCTAATCTACTAACAATGACAGGTGCTTAGTTCTGTTGTTTATTGTTTTAACACACTAACCACAGTAAATAACATCCAGACAAAGTACCATCAAAGCATTCCATAAAGATGTATGTACAATAACTGCAAGTATTTCTCTGTCTCTGTAAAAGACACCTGGATTAAAAATATTCACCAAATGGTTCAAAATAACATGAATCATCATATCTCAAACAAAGTAAGATTTTATCAAATTACATTGAAATATCAATGTGCAATGTATCAATGTACTGCCACTTTGGTTCATTCTTTTCCTGAGGAGCCACTTGGCTCTTGCATGAAAGAAACAGGTGCCAAAATGGTTTTCCTAGGAGCCAAAATAACTGCCATTTTAACATTAAATATTTCTGCTCAGATAAGTGGTTATAATGACAACTGCTAATTGTTGAGGCTTTTATAAGTTGGAATGTATTCAATTAACTTTTTTTTGGAATTTTCGTATCTGGTCAAGTTGATTAGCTTAGAATCACTAACGCCCACTGCAGCAGTTTTGCCACTCTCATTATTTTCACTGATCGGTGTTTTTGAAGAAGTATAGAAAACATTGCAAGTCAGCATGTCACTGTCTCGCTTTTTCGGAGACAATGAAAGTCATGTGACATAGCACAAATTAATCTAAGCTCAACCGAACAACTGTTTTCTATCAATATGAACTTATTTTCATTCTTTTACATTGGCAGATTATAACATGTCGGTAAGATCAATTCCTTGTAAAAGTACCCCTCTTGATACTGCTACAACTTATATCAATGAAACCTCAGAAACAAGAGACAAGAACTGACCACTCCTGGCAGGCTGTTTTCAGCCTCCACATTGGGTCCATCATAGGCGTTGTGGGGCGACCCAACAGAGCTGTCCGAGCTACTGTCTGGACTGGAGGGCATGTTGCTCCCAACTTGAACCAGCTTGGCTGTTACAGTCTGCAACATATCATACAAGGAAATGATGAGACAATTACCGAAAATGCAGCAATTTATTTATGATTTCAAGCTAAATGCCTACCAGAAAAAGAACCATTATTTTGTTCAGAACTGTGATTTTTCTAAAGTTCATGTTTTCCAAATATCAGAGACATTTTATCTTTACATTAAATGCAGTAATGTAAAGTTGAGCATGCAAGCCTCTTCCTCTTCCTACTGGTCTTGCCATCAGTGACATAAGGTCATCACTTCCAAACATAGCATCACGTGGTATGTAAATCTATTTAAACATGAATTGGAAACTTTTAATTGACACTTGCTGCAGACTTTGGGCCAAATATTGCCCTCTAAAAAGGTCCAGATAAATTCCACTACTTATCAGGGTATTTGGTTATAATTATTTTTGACAGTATTCCAGCCAAATGTTGTTGACATCAAGGAATGTGCGAAAACATAAGAATGACACATTTAAAAAACTTCTTGTCTTGTGAATGGTTAACTCAAAGAAAGATATATGTAGATCATCTTGGTAGAAAAACAAGCAGCCGCCTTTTTGTAATGTTGTGTATAACAACATATTTATTTGCTCATAAATCATCATGAAATGAGGCCAATGGAAGCCAAGAGTGCAGGAAAAGGCGTCTCAAGGGTGACGAGTTCTAACATTTTCAGAGCAATGATAGGTAGCTATGTGACCACAGGTTCGGCCTCCACCACGTAGTGTAGGCCAGTTAGTTTGGAGAAGGGCCAGTAACTTTAAAAAGGAGCAAGCCCTGCTGGCTACATACAAATTTGTTTTTAAATCTACCCCTGATTTAGTTAAGAGTTTGAACAATATGGAAGACAAGTTCATATATTATCCAAGCCAAATTACTTTACATTGGCTTACTAGTAACAAATAACAAGGATATTCTTATATTCAAAGAATCAACTCACCATCTTGTCTCGAAGTGGAATCTGTGAAATTAGTTTCTTGTCTTCACTTGGGTCCAGCTGTTCACCATTGACATAGAGATCCACTTTGATGTTGTTTGCATTGGCCTTGACTCTTGATAAGATATATCTCCGTAATGAGCCAACTGTATCATTGCTGTGAGACCATACCTCCAGATCTTCAACTTGTCTCCCCTGATTGGGGAACCTAACTTTTAGAGTTACTAGTTTGCCACGACATGCTCTACAAAAAACACACACAACATACAATGTTAGAGTATGTTCAGGAATACATATGAATGTGATTATGGAAACAAAGCTGTCTGTGCGGATAGCTCATCTTCTCTATCATAACTAGTGTTTGAAATTAAGTCTTGAAAGTCAAGGGGTCTTGTCATGACCCAAATGTTAAAAGTTAAGAATTTAGAGCCTTAACAGATTCGAATACCAGAGCAGCAAACTTTAAGAACCCCAATTAATTTGAACACTGAATATCTATGCCCAATCACTGTTGACACCCATACAATCTATAATACATGATTTGTCTCATCTATATCTATGTATAATTAAATTATTAAGGCAATTATTCGCTGAACAGGAAATGAGATGGAGGTGACTTTTTCCATAACTTCTTAGTGAAAGACTCAAATCATAGGGCCATTCTTGGAACAACTCATAGTGCTATGACAATAACTCCCATACTTTAACAAAGACCTATATTCGTCATAACAGTAACTTTACTGACTTGTGGAATGGCACCAAGGGCCCTGTTCCACAAAGCTATCTTGGCACTAAGGCATTTGTAACTCCATCACTTTAACATTGACCAATGACAGCTGTAGTGCTGATATCCCTTTGTGGAAGTCTATAAGTCCATGTTAACCTGTTGAAGTGATGACAATCATAACATTAAGATCGCTCTCTGACACAGTGCCCAGGACTTCAAATAAAATGACGTACCTGCTGAGAGGAAGAATGGTGCGTTCCTCCCCATAAGCTTCATCACACTCTGCCACATACTCCTTCAACACTGTGAGAATCCTCACCATGCGTATTGTCTCCTGCATCACCCTACTGGTGCTATCAGCATCCTTCTCCAACACACTCACTGTGTCAAACGAGGCTTTTAGTCTATCAACACATGATTGTATAAAGTCCTCATGAATCTCAATTTGATTCTGTTGTAACCTTGGCCCAAGGTTGGTAAAAATGTCTTTCAAAAGAGCGATTGCTTTTTCAGCAACTTCATCTGGACTCCAGAGCACAACCTAAATGAAGAGAGAACTGTTAACATCAACAGCAGCAACAACTCCACCCTGTTTCTTCAATGTCACAGAGCCCCACTTAAAACACTTATCACAAGTCCTTCATGCAAGGAAAGAAGGAAGATGGAGAAGGGGGGAGAGAAGAGGGAGAAGAACCTTATTGCAAAATACCAGTTTGCCATTCTATTAACTGCCATGTACATGAAGGATACTGTAGGAGGATACTGACAAAGAATGCACATATGTATGAGTTTCCTATTCACATTCCTGATTGTTCATCAACTGCTTATTCAAACACTCAATCCTGACAAATTTCCATCTGATACCACTATGTAACATACCCGCCACATGTAATCCAGTCCTATCAACTCCAGGTCATCCATCATGTGACCTCCTCTTCGTTTGGCAATCAGCTTGTTTTCCTTCAGATTTACTTGCTTGAAAAATCTTTCAAAACAGCTGAAAGCAAGTATATGCTTAATCAGAACTTCAAAAAATATAATCACTTGTTACCTTGTTGAGAAATAAATAATAATCTCATATTACCTATGTCATTTGTTTCATAGATCATTGAAATTCATTGTTGATTGCTGAATAGTAGTTAAAGATATTCAACTGATAGCACTTACTTCATTCCATTTTCTGTGAGCAGTGCTGGGTCAAGCTGGAGAATGTTCCTCTCAAAGAAATCTCTCGTGATTTCAGGGTCCAGATCTGGTTCTTCTCCCATCAACTGAAATTATACACGCTCATCAATAGTAATCAGGGGACCACTCCTAATTCATGAAAAGGCACCAGTTCAACACTAGACTAACAGACGGATGGACATGCTGATCGCTATATCACATTTTTCAAACAGGGTGATAACAATGAGTATTTGTATGTGAATATGTGTTTAATTGAGCCATTTTTTTCACCAGATATAACTGTCTGATAAAAACAATTTCACCTAGGAAACTTATTGTTTCTCAGTTTGGTTTTGAGAAAATGCAATCAAACCCGCAACAAAGTGTATCTTACTTGGTCAAGTTCTTGTAAAACAGTACAATGACTATTGACTTACCTTTGCAAACCATTTGAAACATGACTCCCTGTCTGTGATGTAAATTGCATTCTCAGCCAAACAGTGCCAGATCTGACAACAGAAATTAGTATTATTAAATTCAAATGCATTTTTAATCTGTTTCCATCTAACACATTATCCTTATCCAAATAAACCATTTTCAAGTCACATAACTCACCTGTCTTGCTTGGGGTTCACACAACCATAACTGCCCATCTTTCAGCAGGAATCTGAAGAATTTGATAGAGAAACTCATGTCAATAAGGGAACATATCCTGTGCCTTGTGGTCCTAATTTATTTTGATTATTTTAGAAAAGGAAAACACTCCATAGATAGGTAATATACATAATAATGTTCTCACCTGAGAAATCTTAGTCTTTCTTGCACCTGCATGACATGATTGAATCTTCCATCGGGTAGAATATGAAGAGGCTCCTCTTCTGGATGTTCTGAAAACACGTCGCGATACCATTATTATTTATTTAGGACAGAAACATACACTTTGTTCAAATGTCGAAGAATATTTTTTTCTGAATATCTTATGAATCCTGTCTGGGATTTTGTGATGCCTACTGTGTGAGACACCTAAATTTTGGTTTCTGAATATAGCTGTATGTGAGATCATGTTATATTTGTTTGTTGTGAAATGCCACATTCAGCAATATTCCAGCTATATGACGGTGGTCTGGAAATAATAAACTCTGGAAGACAATCCAGTGATTGACATATGAGCATTGATCTACGCAATTGGGATACAATGACATGCATCAACCAAGTCAGCATGTCTGACACCCGATCCCAGAGATCTAGTTCTAAATTGAACTTGATTCATAAAGGCAACATAACTACAAGTGACTGATTTGGGTTTTACACAGCTTTTAGTAATATTCTGGAGATGTCACGGCACGGAAACATAAGGTATGGGCTACACACATTGTACCCATGTTAGGAATTGTACCCAGGCCTTTGGCAAGATGAGTGAATACACAATGACTGATTGTCTGTGGGTTAGTTGTTTGACACCGCACTCAGCAATATTACTGCTCTATGACAGCAGTCTGTAAATCATCGAGTCTGGGCCAGACCATCAAGTGATTGACATCATGAACACTGGGATATGATGACATGCAATCAACCAAGTCATTGAGCCTGACTACCAGATCCATTAAGTCGCTTCTTACGACAAGCATAGGTTGCTGGGGACCCATTATATTATTACCTAGAATCCTCAAAGGTTAGTGAACACAATAACCACTAGACTACCGCTCCGACCCACTTTCAACTACAGGAATCAAACATGAATGTTACCTTTGTTATGCTGTCTGGCTTTGTTCATGTATGCAGAGAGATTTTGAGAAACAAGCATGACAATTGAATGTTGATTCTGCAGCTGACCAATGACACTGTTCCTATAGTACATGTGTGGAGACCTCTGTGTGTGGGGGAAGTTCTGTGGAGCTTCAGGGAACAGCTGACATATCTCCCGAATCTGCTTCAGTGACGGCAACACCCACTTGTCATTCTTCAGCTCCTCTACAAACCTGTTGATCCACTGCATTTTCTGAGCATCTCGGTCCTACAAAGGAAACAGGACTCTCATGATGTTCACAGAATCTACTTCACATTCAAATTATTGCATAAATTCAAGTGGTTGTAATATTTTTGAGTCTGCAATATTAGCTACTAGTATGAAGCTTGAATTTTGCAAATTTCTTTCGGTCTAATAAACTTAGCTTATGAGAGCCAATATAAAAGAAATTTAACCTTCAATATCAGTGACAACTATTTCAAGAACATTCCAGAGGGCAATTCAGCAAACAAACCAAAAATGATGTCACTAAGTTGAATTACCATATGCTGGTCATTGACTGTCCTACTACTGGTATTACAAGATTGTCATCAGTTGTCATACATAGTAACTGTATGACATAACCACAAGCAAACGACTTATTAATATATGCAGAAAAAGGCATTTTCTTGAAAATGCATAATGAATAATGAATGACCTTCATTGTGACCTTGACCTTAGACATAGGTCACTAACAACTTTTCCCAATCTACAGCCTGATCCAAGGATGACGTTAGGGCTGGGACGATTCCAAATTTACGACCCGGGTACCCAACCCCTATTACCCTACCCGGGAACCCGCTGTGGGTCTCAAGAGATGGGTGCAAAATGTCCAGTTGGGAATAGTTTGTCCATGGCCCAAAATGTACTGAGATACACATATGAAGGATCTGGTCATGCATACACTGAAGTTGACTGAAGCTTTATCCTTCCAACATGAAAGTCAGAAGGAATGCCTGCATAGTCAGATAATCAGAAAGAAAGGTGAACATTAGTGACTTGTACTGTTACCATGGAGTTCCTGATAATTTTTGTCATTAAACAATATACCATGTGACTAACCACGGGCCTGGGTAGTCCTGTGGGTACCTGCGTCCTACTCAGTACCCACCCGACCAGAGTTACCCGTACCAAGTTTCGTTGACCATTAATAAATCCTCTAAGGTACTTTTTAAAATTATGACCTTGAAATGACCTTGACATGACTGATCAATATGCCAATATCATTTCCCAGGGCTATTTATAAAGGATATACACATGACAAAGACTACCTGAGATGTCAAAGCACCATATGGTTTCAAGAACGAAGTACAGCAGTGGCCGTCAAATTCAGGCCAAAACCATATCCTATTTTCTTAAATATAGTGCACACATTTTTTTCCAAAAATACAGCTGTGTAGAAGCGGGTGTGCGTTATACACACCATAATGAGTTTTGATGTTTTTTTCCCCCCAACACAAAGACATTACCATGAGCATTTAACACCGTAAACACCATGTCAACAAATCCATACTGAAGTACGCAAATTAATCATGTAATTACAGTCTGGCTATATTGTATATTGTATATCTGGACTTATTTTGTAAATTATTTCATTAATTTCATTCAAAATTCCTTTTAATATAGTTTTAAATAATTTTGGCGAAATCGTGTGTGATGTGATCGGTTGATCGCACATATCACACTGTTATTAACAGCAACCACGGTCAGATTACCGCTATTGACACCTCGAACGAACTTTAGTTGACAGAGAAAGGATACACATATCATAAATGCCATACTTTGACTCATTAAAAGTCATATTTGTTGTAGTTTGACTATTCTATGCAACATGTTGTTCTCGTGACCACGCACGCGGGAGCTTGACTCGACGGTGACTGGTCAAACTGTTCCATGTGAAAAATATAACTGGCAATAGCTATCAGCTACACCAAAGTGCTACGCTTAGGGTCATTATTATCTTAAATATATTTAGTAAAAGCTGCAACTAAAATAACAGGATATATTATTCCTGATTAAAAAATTAGTTTCAGATACAATTTTTCCCAATCCTTGCATTAAAATCCTTTAAAGTTATATCATTGGGTAAGTTTTAACCGAATCACCAGCGTAGTTTACGAGAAAATACTCAAGGTTTAATCCCTGCATGTAAAACAATGCCTAGCAGAACAAAAAATACAATCTAAACGGTAAATCAACATGTCTGATGATTTATTATCTCAAATTTTAAATTTGTACTGACCAAGTTTTTTTACCGTTTGTTTACCGGAATTCGCTGAAGGGATAAGGTGTAAATTTTTTTTCTGTGCAGAATATTTAAAAAAAAAAATTCTCCAAAAATACTGAATCCGCTAGAGGGGAATGCGCATTATACCTTGGTGTGCACTATACTCAAGAAAATATGGTAATTTACATGGGGCTGTTTAATCAAGCAGGGCCTACCTGAGAGCAGCTGTAATCTAGGATCTTGATATGAGCAGTGAGAGCTTGGTCCATGATCTCTGTGGGGACATCATCACTGTGGGCCAGGTTCCACAGCAGAGTGAGAACCTTGTGGGCCATCACACCTTCCTTGTCATCCTCGGCAAGACGGCGGATCAACTCAAGGAGCTTCTCACGCTGTTTCTTAGTAGCATTATTCCAGCTACCCTGTAAGACAACATCATGTTAGAGATAGAAAACAAACAATGCTTTTGTTAAGCAGTTTTTTTCCAGGTTAATTTGGAAAGGCCAGAAACAGAAACAACACTGTTAATTTTTCTTTTATAAACGTAAATTAGGCCTAGCCATTTTTCTCTTGTTTTATGGACAAGCTTACCTTGAGTTGTGCTCAAGTTTAAAAAAAATAAAAACATTGTTTGATTGAAATTACGCTTTCTTAACATCTTCCAATAAAATGTTTTACAAGAAATCAAACTTGTCTTTCCTTACAATTAGACGTTTACCTAAATAGTATTGAATAGCTTCAAACAACCACATATTTGCATCAATCAGCCCTAACTAGACTTTCATGAGTAACTTTGATGTTCTTTATCTTATCTTTATCTTGGTAATCAACCATCACATTAAACTGCTTTGAAAATGCAAGAATAGTGAAAAATGGTATCCATCTCTATCCATGGAAGAAGGTTTCAAAATATCCTTCTACATTGAACTGACCTGGAAGCACTCAAACAGATGGTCCAGCTGTTCGGGGGTAAAATCCCATGCCAGTTTGGCCAGCAGGTCATGAACATTCTTCACAATAGCATCATGTTTCCCTGACTGGGCCTCCCACAACCGGTCCAGGTCCTCCATGGTAAGAGCCTTCTCCTTGATCATGAAGCGGAGAATCTTTTCCAACTTCTCCACATACTGGGGCTGATGCAGGCTGTCGCGGAGAACTATTGACAGTACGTTGTTCTGCTGAATCCATTCCTGTAGACATGAGAAAATATACACTGCAGCTGACTATAAGTACAAGCAGTGATGGAGGACTCCAGTTTCAAACCAAACTATTGCTGGTAATATTTTCAATTGTCAAAAATCTTGTACAAATTCAATTGCATTTACAGAGAATCCTTATAATGTGGAGAGTAAAATGTCAGTTAAAGGAAGCTTAATGTTCAGTAAAAGAGCCCTGTTTCATAAAAAAAACATCAGCATATGAATGTTGTAACAACAAATCCTCCATCACATGTGAATACATATGGCCGATTTGCAGTGAATTACCAATGTCTCATACCTATGAGTGCTCAGATTACATTGCTGTATTAAACAGCAATATTTCTTGTGCAACAAGTGCCATAGTCTTGCAGCTATCTACTCGCAACGGTAAGGTTCTCACAATTTCTGGCATGGTGTAGGGTCCATGTGACTTTCCTTGAGTTATAAACAGCCTCTTTCCATTACGACTTAAAACCAACATGTATCAATACCACAGCCAATATCAGCCCGATGCATTCACAGGTGATGGAGGAATGCTGTGTATACAAACCCGTGAAGTACTGACAATGAATCCTATCACCCCCATTAATGTCCAGAAACGGTCCTTGAGAGAAGAACTATTATTTCAGGTACATGCGTTTGTGATATGACTACACACAAGCAATAATTAACCAAACAAACTTCTGTTCAAAACATCAAGCACTTTGCCCTCTAGTCTCTATGTAAACATCGTAAACTGTCAACTTACAGCCATTTTCTCCGCAGTTAGCCACTCATCCTCCTCTACCTGGGTATGGCGACTAGCATGGAATGACACGTTGGTTATCACCTTGTTCACTTCATTAAGTGCATTCATCTTGCCATTGAACGATGATATCTGCAGCAGTCTGAAACACAACACAGCAGCATCAGCACTGTCTGAAGAAATTACCAGTCAGCTGTCTACTGTTAAAGGAAGCTTATGCTTGACTGTCAGAAAACTATTTCAAGTCAAGATCTAGATCCTGTAATTAGCAACAGGTTGAAACATTGTCACTGTGAAATAAGAACTATAATTGCAATAATAATAACAATGCAATTTAAGTCGGCAAAACAAAATTTACACCATGCACAATTTGAGTTGGCACAGCTTGATCTACCCCATACAATTTTAGTCGGCACACCATGACTTACATCATGCAATTTGAGTTGGCACATCAATAAAGTGGTGTTAAACAGCTTGTGCAGTTTGACATCGAATATTCCACAGAGCATATGAGAAACTTAGAAAAGAATACGCTTCATACCTCAGTATCATCTTGAGTCTAAATATCTCCAGTTCTTTGATTGTCTCATCCTGGTTGGGGAGTCGATACACAAGCTGTTTCAGGGCTTTGATGATTGATGACAGAGCATCATTCTTTGCCTCAGTCTTTGATTCTTTCTTTAGTTCGTCATCAGTCAGTTTATCAAGAAACTTTGGTACAATATCCTGTAAGAAATGTCTACAATAACCACATATCCAAAGCCACAGATTAAAGGCACAGCCTCAATCTATTCATTTTGGAAACTATACTTAACATTCCTAAAGCAATAGCTCATGTCTAAGGGTTGTTTACAAACTTCCAAGCTTTGCCCTATAGATGATATGTCAAGCTATGACCTTGATGATGACCTTCACCTTTGACATGACCAGCCAATATGTCAAAAAGACTTTCCCAGATTTTTATTGGAGATATACATAAGATATCCCTGAAATGTCGACTTGCCACATGCTCTTAAAAACAAACTGTGGCGGATGCAGTCAAATTCAGTTAAAACCATTATTTCAGTCACATCACTGCATGTCAACTTTATGGGAGAGGAAATCTCAAAACAACATACATCTTAAATGTTGAAAGCTACCAACAAGGGTAATGTGGGACTCACACCCATGGAACAGTGTATCCACACATTGCTAAGGGAAACCACTCTGTGCAGTGAATGTGATGTCTTAAGGTCACTGGGCCAAACATGTGCCCCTATCTTTTGGTGACAATGAGAAAAGATTCAAAGAAACTTACCACAATGGGCATGAAGTATTTCTGTACAGTGTGTGGTGTCAGTACCTCAGCACACTGTCCAAATGGTCTAAAAAAAGCAAGAAAGTTCATTGATACACATTCAAACATACCAGACAAATTTTTATGATCTGATGAGAAAGAGACATTATATAAAATTCTTGTCATGGTACTTACTTAATAAGTGCAGCAATAATTGGTACGGAGAGAGCTGGAGCTTTGATGAATCTGTCCAGAAGAATCTGAAAGCCTTCTAGGCCTCCGAACTTGTTTACCAAGTCAACCAACCAACCCTGAAAAAGAAAGCAAATGTGACTGAATTCTCAAATATTTTCAAAAGAAAAGAATACCTGATAATATCTAGAGTCTGGTCTCAGATAAAGGTGTTTGGACACATCTTGCAACATGGCCAAAGCAGACACATTCCAGTAATAAGAGTGGCAATTGGGGTTCTTAGATTTTTACGCTATAGATTTTGAATCGAGGGACAATTTATATCTTTAACATTATGAGCGTCTTGACTTTCATGCTTAATTTTGAACATTGCTATTAAACCTACCTTTATGACTCATTAAAAAAAAACTAATCTATCATCTCAAACAGAATTGAGTACTCAGATCAGACTCGCTGACTTGATTAATGCATTCATCGTAACCCAATTGCAAGGATTGATGGTCATGATGTCAATCACTGGATTAATTGGACCAGACGCAATTATTTACAGGCTGCCATCATTCAAAGGTTATATTGTTGTTTAACAAGAAACAGAATATAAATGGCAAGTACCTGTGGTCATAGGGGGATGATTGTGGTCAAAGGGGGATAATTGTGCATCAAAGGGATAACTGTGCATCAAACTTTTCAAAGAATATCAATAATGAATGTGTCAATAATTCCCAAGAGCCTTACCCTTGGAGTTCTTGGGTCTGGAGGTCTTGCAAACAGAGATTCCTCCGATGGTTGGGTTCCAGCTGGTACACTCTCTGACGGCCGAGTTCCATTGTAAGTGTGGAATCTGCACAAATTGATTAAAATCCATGTTATTCAAATAGCTTAATAATATGTGCATGTCATACATTTTTCCCTCTATGCTTTACAAATAGTGTCATGTGCAATGTAGCTCAGCTGAGTATCTATTTAACAGTTCAAAATGTCAACAAAGACAGACACTTCGGCGATTTGTGACGTAGAATGGTTAATGAACTTTAGGGGTTTTGAGTGTGTCATAAGATAGATTTTATGTGGACTAGTAAGGGATAGTAGACAGAAATTTGAATATTTTGACTTCCACTTGGTGCATGTAAACATAAATATTAAATTGCATTTCAATCTTAGGTTGCACTTGTGCATGATTTATACAGCTAAATCAAGCCCTGACAACTGTGTGTCAGGACAATGAGGGAAGAAAGTCAAAAGTGATGCAGGTATGAGACCTTAACCACATTGCTGAAACTAAGTTATGGTTTGGTGCTGACTAAAGATGACAGTAAGACAAATCTGGGATATGAACCCACTGTCATCTGATTCTGACATGACTCTCTAAACAGCATTTAGTGATGTTTAACACATGTACCTACGAATACAGTTCCAGGAACATTTCTGTTACATTAAGAAAGTGATTTGTTTGCTTGTTGTTTAACACCACACTCGGCAATATTCCAGCTATATGACTGCAGTCTGTAAATAATCGAGTTTGGAGAGGACAATCCGGGGATTCACATAATAAGCATCAATCTCCGCATTTGGGATACGATGACATGTAGCATCCAAGGCAGCAACCCTGACCACCTGATCCCCGTAGTCGCCTCCTACAGCAAGCAGAGTCGCCTCCTACAGCAAGCAGAGTCGCCTCCTACGGCAAGCATAGTCGCCTCCTACGGCAAGCATAGTCGCCTCCTACAGCAAGCATAGTCGCCTCCTACAGCAAGCAGAGTCGCCTCCTACAGCAAGCAGAGTCGCCTTTTACGGCAAGCATGAGTTGCTGAAGACCTATTCTAACCTGGACCTTCACGGGTAATCAAGAATGTGAACACTATGACTTACTTGCACTGAGGGCTGAAAACCATGGCCAGAAGATCCAAGAGAGGAAACCAGTCTTGTGATAATTTAGCCACACAGAGTTCTATTAGTTTCTCAGCATTTTTCAAAATACATTTCTGAAGAAAAGAAAGGAAATGTCAATTAAAACTGATCAAATTATTAATTTGACAAATATATCTTCAATTAAATCAGGACTTTTTGGACATGTACTTTATGACATTCATCGCAAATAATATAGTATTTCTATCTAAATATTGGTAAACATAAAATGTGGAAACAAAATTATTGTAACATTCAAAATATCAAAATATTGCACTCGTACTTACATGTATCTCATATTTCCATCCACTGACAGCTTCATCTGTGAGAATCTTTGTGAAAGATATTGTAAGACCCTCACGAAAGAATCTTTGACAAGCCTCACTTCTTACATCCAATCCTGAAAGAATGGAAACAGTAACTGAGTAAGTGAAGGTATTAATTCATGATGCCCTTTTTAAGCAATATTACCATTAAACTACAACAGGAGACAACAGTCTCTTACTTACCTTTAAAGCAGACAGCAATATTCAATGTAAATCAGTGGTCAGTAAATATTCATGGTGGGACAAGACAGAGTCTGTTAACACCCAACAATGGAGACCGACAATCAGCAAAGTCATCATGCAAGAATGCTCAATCCTCTTTCACCAGCTTCAAGACAAGCAGGGGATACTCAGGACCTTTTTACCCAATTGCAGATAAGTCTGGGACTCCATGAATTGGCTTTACCCATTTTGTCTATTTTGTGAATCAACCATGGATCTTCAGACAACATTCCCATAAGTCTACCCAACAAGAAAATTAACGATGAAATCTAGAATTAAGATAAAAAAAGATACTTTACGGAGCTTCATTTTGACAGAACTGTCCACTCTAAAAGCTTAAACTGATGTCTTGTCTTGTGTATGAAGTGCACTTAAGTATTATGCACATCTCCAATTCTCTGACACAACTTTCAGGAAAAGTTTGCATATTATGCACAGTCAAAACATACTTTGGATCACTTTGGTGAATGAACATGAAATAACAAACTTGGTCAATAAAAATGTTTGCAATAAAAACTATAGGACATGATGCTTTACAATTTCAGTTGTATTTCCTGCAAGGCAGAGATTAAGATTATCATATGTAGTTGTCTTGTAATACATGCCGAAATAGCAATCAGCAGAACATACATTTTCTCCTGGGATCTATTGTTGATTCAGTTACAAAATACCCAATATCATAGCATGAAAGAATTTTAATGCAGTGATTACTGGAAATTATATCTGAAACTATTTTTTTATTATTTATTTTTTGTTGTTTAACGCCGCACTCAGCAATAGTCCAGCTATATGACGGCGGTCTGTAAATAATCGAGTCTGGACCAGACAATCCAGTGATTGACATCATGAGCATCGATCCGCTCCATTGGGATCGATGACATGTATCAACCAAGTCAGCGAGCCTTACCACCCGATCCCGTTAGTCGCCTTTTAAGACAAAACTATTTTTGTACCACAGCTGATGATAGTCCGCATAATAACAATAAAATCTACTGAAAATGATGTTAAGAGCCGTGTTCAGAATACTAGACTAAAAGTGTTTGGAATTTTAGAACAGGGTACTTTTGACAAAAATTCAATGTCTGAGTGTATAATGCACCCCGACCTCTACAGATATTTTTTCGAAAAAAGGTGAATTATACACAAGAAAATATAGTAGTCTTCCAGAATAATCTGATGTAAATATCAACTCCCATGAATACATCATAAAAACATAAAGCCTTGTAAGTAGACAAAATACTAAAAAACCTAGGTTTTGGCTTTGAAAAGATGAGTAACATATTTCTAAATGAAAACAATTTACATACCATCTTTGCTCAGTTTAATTGCAGCTTCCAGAAGAACTTCAAGTTCTCCTTTCGGCAGCACTGGAACAACCCATCGAGGTCGGTTAATCATTTCATCTAGTTTTGCCAACTCCACGTGGGGGAATTCAGGTTCTTGGTCATCAGGAGGCACCACTATTCCATCACCTTGACCTCCTTCATCATGCTGGGTCGCAATCTGACTTGGACCTCCACTTGTGGACTGCTGTTGTTGTTGCTGCTGCTGCTGTTGCTGCTGGGGTAGAGCTTCTTTAGGAGGCTGTTGTGTCTGTGATGGTTGTGAAGTCGGGGGTTGTTGTTGTTGTGGCTGTTGTGTTGTTGGCTGTTGTTGTTGGGGAGCCTGGCCTGTCTGAGGAGGGGAATTCTCTTGAGGGGAATCCCCTCCAGCTGGGCTTCCACGCATAACTATCGTCATGATTTCAATACTGCTTCAAACAGCTGAAACAGAAGAGGTGTTTTAATGATAGAAAATAAAATATACTTCAAATGTAACTGTTAACATAACAAGGGCTCACTAATACCCCCGACTTCGACTCCCAAAATATTTCTAAGTTCAAAACATGAAAAAAGCAATATTTCTCAGAAAATCAGCTTATCAATAAGTTCAGGGGGTGGAGCCATCCCCCCATTTTTTCCCCCCACCCTCAATGAAGGTACAAATGGCCCAAGCTGACACCCCCCTCCCCCTGTTTTTTCGATCCTGGATCCGCCCCTTTAACATGAACACAACTTGTATTGATTTCATAGTCATAGGTGGCCAAGTTAGATATAAGGTCTTGCAGTTTGCCATGCAGAGTTATATCCCCTAGCCATGCCAGGATCCACTTATGGTAACTGAAACACCAGATTCAACCCTCATTATAATCCTTGGTCAGCAACACTCACATGCTTGTGAGTGAGTGAGTATGGTTTTACGCCGCTTTTAGCAATATTCCAGCGATATCACAGAGGGGGACACCAGATATGGGCTTCACACATTGTACCCATGTTGGGAATCGAACCCAGGTCTTCAGCATGACGAGCAAACGCTTTAACCACTAGGCTACCCGACAGCCCCTGCAATTTTTAAGGGTTTTGCTCTATGTCATTATAAGGACTAGTGGACTAAAACTGTTAGTTTCTGCCGCTGAAATGCAAAATCAGCTGTTTACCAAGGACATTTCATTATATACTAATTGATAACATTGGAACATTTATCACCATCAATGATTGGTTGGTTGGATCAGATCAATGTTGGAACAGACCAATGATGAAATTCCAATCCTATCACATACTGAAATCAACAGGTTATGTTGTCATTAGAGATGCAAGATATAACTAGTATGCAGAAATATTGCAATATGGCCATCTGTAATACACGTATATCGCAATTTGATCCTTGTGTATCGATATTTACACAGCACAGTCACAGAAGAATTAATACATAATCATATAAATAATATCTGGATCTTGAGGCATTTGGATGGACTGGGTTCCTATCTAAGCAGCAAAAGCTTTGTGTTGTTCACGTCAACATTCAATATCGATGATGTAATAGGTAGTCTCGTTTATCCAAACTGTCATAACCGATCTCGCAATCTGAAGTCTGGATTATTGAGTGAAGCAGCACCCAGTTTTGAGGTGTCATTTGACATATTGCAATACTATTTAAGTGCCAATACACCAACCATAGTAGTTGTCTTCCGTTGTTATGAATAAAATGTATTCAAATCACATGAACACTGTATGCAAAAGACTTTTATAATATATCACAGTAGAACACGGACATATCAAAGACAGATATAGCAAACACACGGATATAGCGAACACACGGATACAGCGAACTGTTAAACAATCCCTGATTTATCTCCCATATAATATCATATAAAATTTACGTATATAACAAACTCTCTACAACGAACTGATATCTGATCACTGACAAGCCCATCTACCACTAAATAGTGACGTGTATAGCGAACTAAGAAATCTCACTCAGTGTCAAGTGTCACTAACAATTGGCTGTATGCAATCAGCGGTGAATCAACACAACCAGCGTCGACGGATCAACCTTGTTCAACTTAATTGAATGTTATGAAATGTCATCAATTGAATGCTATGAAGTGATCACTGCCAATACAAGTCAATGCTGCAATTACGTGTATTGTGTATTGTTTTATCCAAGATGGCGGACGTTTCTGAGCGAAAACGTATATAACGAACAACGGATATAACGAACAATGGATATAAGGAACTGATTTTTCTGGTCCCTTGTAGTTCGTTATATCCATGTTCTACTGTTTATCCTTTTCATCAATCTTTATCATCAACTGCCATAACCTTAAAGTCTGATGATAAATTTGCAAAATCCATTAATTTGATAAGATTTTCAATTAACATTGAACAGTAAATGGTCAAATTTTAATGCAACTAGGTGTTTGCAAGTACTAATAAAAAAAGAAGCAGACCCTAAATTGCCATTTCCTCCAATCTTAAAAGACTCAAAATACCACCATGCACATCAGGTAAAAAACATTTCTTTCAGAACCTGACCATAACTAAGACGACTTCTTAAAATCTAACAATTACCAGGTCCCAGGTTTGTACATGTAAATGTACAACAGTAACTGGCAAAGAATGATACAACAATGTTGCACGATAACCTCAAAGATGACCTTGACCTTTGATAGACAGCACCAACACTAGATGTGGTAGGATTTGAAAAGATAGATGTAAATAAATTCCACTACTCAGATAAAAAACTGAACGCTGACCTTGACTCATCTTAACCAAACCCTATTTAACATAGGGCACTGTCTTAAAGTCCACTTGTTTCTGGTTTAACGGCGTCTTCAGCAATATTCCAGCTATATGATGCTGTCGGTGGTATGTAAATAATCGAGGCTTGACCAGACAATTCAGGGCTTGATTTAAGGAACTTGACTTAACTTGTACCAGGTGCATGTTTACATGAAAACCAAGTTGCATCAAACAATACCCACAGTATGATGACATTGAGCCTAAGGAATTACACTAAACACGGGGATTAGTGATGTAGTACGGTTAATAAACTTTAGAGGGATTGAGTGTATTCAAATATCGATTTTGTGTGGACAAGTAAGGGTTAGTCAAGTAAGGGTTGAAAATTGTATACATCCACTTGACACATGTAGACATAAATATTGATTAAGTGGCATTTGTCAATAATAGGGTTGCACTTAATTGAGGTCTGCAATCCATTGATTGATCTATGCAACTGAAATACAATGACAATCAACCATTTAGGGAACCTCACCACCCGATCCTGTTAGTTGCATCTTCCGACAAACATCGGTTGCTGAAGACCAATTTTAACTTGGATCTTCAAAGGCGCCCAGTCCAAAAGAACGTACATATTTATACTTTTCTGTATCTTCTTTTGTGACCTTGAACTTTGACCTTTTTTTGTATGTACAAAAAGAACATCCCAGAATAATCTCTGTCAATAATCTTTTCCCAACAATCATTTGAAAAAAAAACCTTAAAGGAGATGTAAAATGAAAAAAAAATGATTGCAATTTTGTTTTGAATATCAATTTTCCTTGACACATTTAGTCAATTCCTGAGAGAGAAAAAGTCATATTCACAATTATATTTAGTATGTGTGACTTCATGTTTACACTGACAGCCATACAACAACCAGCTGCATCGCAAAATAAAATAGTTCCTCAAAACGCGAGGCGACATGAGCGTATGTATGCTCAACATCCTCTACATGAACGAACGGTTATAACGAACTCAAAGGGACCACTAATTTTAGTTTGTTATAACTGTAGTTCATATATACAGGATATACATAAGTCATTGTACAGCAAAAGACCGTGACCAAAAAACAGTATGTTATATCCATAAGTTGTTTTAAGCATGTTTGTTATAAAAGTAGTTTACTGTAATATCTCATTAGATGAGAAAGGTCTGTTAAGAACTACCTAAGCTAGCCAGTCACAATGACAGCGAGTCTTAATACATTTCCATCAACATCAACAGAGCTCCAGATAACTTTTTGAGCAATTGAGTTTTTACTCGAAGGTTTCTATTTTAATTGGTGTTATTATATTTCTCATTGGGTAACCAATATTCTCATCTATTCACTCTATTGGGTTTTTTTCCAAAATGAGTAAGCATTATGAGATTTATAAAAAAAATGAAATAATGTTTTAGATGTATATAACGGTTCTAAATATAGGCTTGAATTGGAAAGTAATTTAGCTTGTAATTGAGTTTCGGAAATAAGCTTTGTTGTACGCATGCTGAAAAAGCTTCATTGGGTATTTAGGAGTGCTATTTTCAAGCAATTGATTTTTTCATTTGATGCCTGCGTTTCTGTATGCAAGTTAATTGAAAGAAATTGGGTTTTGAATACCGTATTCAATGTAAAAGGCGCCCAGGGCGCTCTCAAAATTAGAAATAGGGGCGGGGCTCGAAAAATCCACTCGTCCGCTCGTATTGACGAGTGGTAACTGATGTCGGGCAAGCTAAAATTATCAACTACTCGTCCTGATGGACGAGCAGATACTCACAGCAGTTTAATTTATATTTGTTTTGATGTGCGATATATTGACATGGAAATCACGGCCATTCAGTCGATCAATATTTATGTCGCGTATAGCATTAACAATTAGGCTGAGGTTTGTCTCTTGATGTATCTTTGCGCAGGCTTTATTCTGAAACCAGTCTTTATTTATTGATGTAAGCAGTTGGTTGCTAACTACTGGTGATTCGGTCAAGACACACCCGATGATATAACTTTATAGGATTTTAATGCAAGGATCGGCAAAAACTGTATCTGAAACTATTTTTTTTATCAGGAATAATATATTCCAATATCTTGTTAATTTAGATGCAGCTTTTACTTAACATATTTAAAATAATAATAACCCTAAGCGAAGCAGCTGATCGCTATTGCCGGGTATTATTTTTTACATGGAACCAGTCTGACCAGTCACCGTCAAGGCTCCCGTGCACGTGATCGCGAGATTTACGTGTTGACATAGAATCGTCCAACAAAAACAAATATGACTTTTAACGAGTCATTCTCTGTCAACTAAAGTTTGTTTCAAGGCATCAATAGCGGTAATCTGACCGTGGTTGCTGTTAATAATGGTGAGTTGTGCGATCTTCCGATCGCTTCACACACGATTTCACCGAAATTAATTCAAACAATATTAAAAGGAATTTTGAATAAAATTATTAAAATGAGTTACAAACATAAGTCCAGATATACAAAGAACACTTTTCATAGCCAGACAGTGTAATTACATGACTAATTTGCGTACTTCAGTATGGATTTGTTGACATGGTATTTCCGGTGTTACGCGCTCACGGTAATGTCTTTCCATTGGGGGAAAAACATCAAAACTCATTATTTTGTGTATAATGCGCACCCCCTTCTACACAGCTGAGTTTTTTGGAAAAAAAGCACG